AATTATCCATGGTGGAAAAATTCAGTTTAGATAACTTTTTCATGGGGTGATCAATTGCTATGATTGTAAGAATAAGTAACTGAAAAACTACCACTGGAAAATATATGCCAACACCTATGTCGAGGCGGGAATTCCTTCTCTGTGCTGTTCCAATGAGCCTTTTTCCTGAGAATAGTACAGCGAACGTGTCACAGAGGCAGCAATAGTAGTAGGGACTACTTTTTATAACCTGGGTGCTACTAGTCCGAGGCAACATTTCGGGTGTGTAATGCTCCGCCGTTGCTCCGGAGCGAGAAAAGTGACATCCTTTGTTGTGCTATCTGTCTTATACCTACCTCAAAAATAATTATTCACCTGGTCAGTTGGTCTATACATTGTCTTTCACTGTAAATAAGTTAAGTAAAAATATATATAGTCATAATTGCAGAATAGGATGTTTATGGAATCACTTCGAGTGAGACAACCTAAACATCTGAGGGAAGGGTGATGGAACAAATCACCGATGACTGGCAAATTGCCGAAAAGGCAGAGCCATAAGAAGAAGAAGAAGAAAAATTTGTTAATGGTTTTGTAATCTATAATTATCGTACACATACGATAATTTTGTGCCTACGTACGATGTACGATAGCATATTATTATCGTACGCAGATTGTACGATAATTTCTATCATGATGAAAAATTTGAGAATTTATATTATTTCNATGTCGTTGAAATACAATAAAAAGAGGGTTGGAGACAATATAGATCCTTGGGGAACACCAGCGTTGATGGTAAAAGTATTCGAGAGACATCCACAAAAATTATCCGACAAGCCACAGCATCGAAGTTTGGCCACCAAACCCCCATGACACACACGGTCAAAGACCTTAGAAATAACAAGCGCTACAGCTCTTGACTCTCCATGTTTGTCGATTGCGTTTTTCCAAATATAAAAATCCTAGAACAAATACAAAAAATAACTCTGAAAATATCACAAATAAAAAAAGAACTTACCCTACAGAAGCGCTATATAAGGAAACATTGACTTTAGACATAAGGCGACTTTACTTCCTCAAAACTGTTATAAGGCAATACAAAAATAAACTTGAACATAGAAAAACTCAACACCATTATGCAACTCGTCACAAAATAAATTCAACCTATGTGCCAAATTCACAATAAAACAATAGTGTTATAATAACACTATTGTAGTGTCCGACCGAAAGTTCGGTTTCGGTCGAGTTTCGGCAAAAAAACGGGTTTCGGTTTCGGCGGCAAACCTGCCGAAACTACGACCAAAACCGAAACTGCATTCGGAAGTTCCCGCGATGTGATCGGTCATGTTCGGCGCGTTGAATTTCATACAAGCGACGAAGATATTTTGCCGCGTCCATGTGCCTAATCATGTCGTGACTCGAGACTTTCTTTGTGATTTACTTTGTTTATTATATAAATATTAAGTACCTACTGTGATATTAGATACAACTTAAATAAGTAATTTTATGTTTAATATTTTTGAAAAACCATCAATAATAATCAAAAGAAGAATCTACACCTACTCAAATAAACACCTCACCTATTTTAAGTATTATTAAGGTGCAATTAATATTTTTTCTCAAATAAGGGTTTGTTATGTTGATTATCAATAAGTGAAAATGTCGAAGACTGCATAACGTTGTGATTTAAAGATAAAAAAATAAAGACTGACTGATTATAATAACTTTTTCTTTATTTTTCCCTCAAAACATAATCCTTGTAAGGAAGTTTCGGTTTCGGCCGAAACTGAGACCCTTGCCTAAATTCGTTTTCGGTTTCGGTCGTAAAAACCAGTTTCGGTCGGACACTAGTGGTATTCTTACTTATCCTCGGCTGTATAATCTTATTTCAGCACATATCAAAACTATCGTTGGCATTAATATGTTCAAAAATAAGCTTGAAGCTTGGATCTCAGATTTGCCTAAAGCACAGATACACCCCAATATGTTGATGTGAAAAATACATTATACTACAATGTTTAAATGTTTGTAGAAGATGTATGTGGTTAGAATTGTGTAATAACTGTATACAATTCATACTGAAACAAACATTGTTTTTATATTTTATTCATTATAATCTATTGTATATTAATATGATATAGGTAACCCACGCACTAGTGTATCCTTCTGTAGGAACTATATTTATTTGTCGTTAACTAAGATTATTGTATATTTCAAATTGAATGGCAAATAAATATTATTATTATTATACGATAGAAGGTCGCCTGCTGATCTTTGGGTGTCAGCCCATGTTCATGTTTCGTTCGTAATCCTGATCAGGATAATAAGATAAACTTATGAAATTATTGTACTGCCACCGATTCTTGATAAGTGTACAAAGTTCAAAATAAATCTGTCCGTTCAAAGTTGGTCAAAATCAAGCCCAAAGGAGTCGGTTACAAACAAACATACAAGTGATGCTAATGAAAGTGTGTTAATGGAAATGGAAAAAACTTTCAAAACACCCCTGGGTTTTTTCATTAATTTATATTTTTCATCAGGTAATAAATTACCCTTCTTCGGCGAAAAATTAAACTATATCAGGAATATCTGATCTAATCAGGTATAAGCTGTGCAGGTATGTAATATATTAAAAGTGCTTTTTATAGAAAATTTCGAAAATTTTATTGGAAATTGAAAAGTAAAAACAATTATGGGTATTCAATTAAAAACAATTAAAAACAAACTTTTAGAGGTTCCGTAATTTCCAACGGATAAAATTTACTTATGCACATTCATCATATTTGGCAGTGCATATGCATATTCGTAAATAAGAGGTTTCGAATTATTTCAGTTGTCGTCCAAAGACCACAAAAGTTCCTCCATCCATCCATTTAGTGTAACGGTGTGTCAAATCATTTAAGGATCACTACTTACCACTCATTTTTGACCTACTTCGTGTGAAAGTTGATTAAATTCGATTTATTTTCAGCTGAATTGTCTGTTGACTGAGCTTCCAAAAGTATGACGCTTTTCCAATATTTCTGTAGTAGGTATTTTTAGATGTGAAATCAAAGTTATTGTTCGGTCACGTCGTGCGGTTTTTTATAACCTTTGATCGCGGAAAGATTTACGTATTTGAATGATTCCGAGAAATGGTAAACACTACAAGAGCTCGTGGGCTCGTCTATAGGTATATCTGCATTGTACGAGGTTTGTTCAAAAACTGGAGTGAATGTTCAAACTTTGCTTCATGAATAAATGAAAATGAAAATTAGAAAGAATAGGTAGCTGAAGTTAACAATTATATTGAGCAAAAAAACCCTGAAAAGAAATTACAATAAAATAAAAAGCATAAAATTGAACAATTGAATTGAAACAAGACTATAAAAAAAATAAAAAAGTTAAATTTCAAGCCAAGTTACTTCACGACGTTTCGATTGTTAGTATCCACAATCGTCTTCGGGCGATGACAGTCGAGAAGCAACTTGACATGGAATCTCTCAATGTTTCATTTATTTTTTTATTTTTGTTTCATTTTATTTGTTTAATTTTCAATGTTTTCCTTAATTTTTATTTTGTTCTGAGTTCTTTTCAGGATTTTTTTGCTTAACATAACTGTTCATTTCATCTATTCTTTTCAATTTTTTTTTTTCAAATCATATTATATTAGACAATGAAAGTCCAAACTGAAGAAATTCAAGAATAAGAAAAGTTTTTCGGTCTATTACAAGATCAACTTTAATTGAAGTTCGAAGAACTACATTTATGCATAGGTCAAAATGGAAGATTGTTCGAACATCTTTCAAAATTGTTTGTTTTCATTTTGGTACTTTTGTTTTGTACAACCCTGAGTAAAAAATAACTTTATTGCTTCTATTTAATTACTGTTTTATAATTTCCTAGAGAATTAGATACATTTCCGATGAAAATAAAGTGGTCAATCCCTACATTTCCGGAAAGCTCAAAGGGTGGACTTTTCTGGGGTTTCCCTATATACAGGGTGTTCCATTAGAAAAAACTGAGAAAAATTGATCCCGAGTTTTCTTTACTCCTGAATATAAAAAGTGCCGCCCGGTAAACTTATGAAGACGGAATGAAAATACACTCTCGTCGAAGATATTTTTGGTGGAAAAATTCCCTCATTTCATTAGATCGAATAGAAGATATTTGGTGTTGAATTAACCCATTTTTTTGACATAAATTTCACTATAACTTCTGAACCACCCGGTATAAACCGAACCCAAACAACTCTATATTTTTGAGAAGCATTCTGAGCAAGAAATTCAATCGAGTGAAAATATCTAGAGTGTTCTATTTAAAGAAACATAAGTTTGGTCTGTCGTACATTTGTTGGACACCCTGTATATCAGTAATAAACATAGGTTCCATTAATCTCTACAATTTTTACCGTAATATCTCTAATAGGAAAGCAGCTATCGTTGATGCACCCTGTATAGATGCAACAAAATTTTTGGTAGTAAATGTAACTTTTCAAAATTCTCTTTATTATGTAGGTATCTAATTACATTCTTCCTGTCATTGGAAGTTTCCCATATTTTTTAATAATGAAGAAGTCGAATGTCAAAAAGCATTTTTCTCAAATAAACACAACCAATGTGACTGTTATTCATTAACTTTCAACATTAAAAATATGGCAATGAAAACAAGTTCAACAATAATAAATACGACAGGAAGTGAGTAGGTAATTTAAATTCTACCTATACTTTTTGCATTCGTTTCCTGTGGTTTGCTATATATCCACAACCACCTCGTATAACCATTACCGCTACCAAAAATAATGTTGTTTACGTTCAACATAACATATCGAAAGCCACATGTAGCGACGGGCTTGCCTGTGACGTTTTCTTTTCAGGGTCCGGGCGTTACACAAAGCCAAGCACGCTTTAATGACGTAGTAATCACGGTCGAACTGTCTGTTCACCAGCCGTAGAGCACGTGAACACCATGCAAGCGATCACGCTCTCAGCGAGTGATCAGCGAGGCTGTGAGTGGCTGGCATGCACGAGCCCCCACGCACCATTGGTCGATTCACAGATGCAGCGCGCTACACACCCCAAAAACTCATGCCAAAGTAACAACATCAATGAATGCGAGCGCTTCGAAATAGGAATACTCCTGATATTAATTCTGTTTTTCATCCGGTTGGATATAGACGTTGTTCTCGTTTCTCCTAGTGATACGGTTTCTATTCTATTATTTGTGGTTTGCTGACAAGATGATTGAACCACAAGAAGGTCTGCTCTCACCACCGAGTTCACCTCCCCTAAAAATCGTGAGTATACAAATATTTCCTGCTAGTTATATTTAGAAATCATCTTAATCCCTTGCATAAACATAGATTTGAGTATTTTTATTACCCTACCCAGTAGATATTTCGGGATTACTTTAAGTAGGTAAAGATTATAAATAAAAGCAATTTATTGTACTATTTCAGATGAGTAGATACTTTGGTCATGTGTAGGTATGTACCTAGTATTCCAACACAAATATCTATTTTCGTTTGAATAAAAATAGAGTTATTATTGATTGAAATACGTGAAACTTCCGATCATTCATTCACAACGTGATTGCTGCTAAAAGTAGGAAATGAAATTCCGATGCGTGCAAAATATTTGTTTAATCTGCGTATCTAGCTACCTATTTATGGTAGGTATATGAAATTGATAAATTATGGATGCGTTAGTTCAAAAACATAGAAAGAAAAAGTCCTAAGAAATAATATAAAATTAGGTACCTATTCACACATATATTGCTATTTTTTATTCCGTATCAAGCTTTAATTTTTGCAATCTGATGGACTTATCTTTGGTGATAGTTCAGTTTGTTTATTAGGCGCACTAGCAAACTATATAATAAACTTTGGTACAATTTCAAGTATGATACTTGCTGAACGAATCTATTTTTCGAACAAAAAAAGTATCTACTTTAAATAATTAATTTTTATCGGATATCGCCTCGTTTTGTAATGAAGCTAACAACTTTGTTGTAAAAGCTTGTGCTGCCGTTTCTATAAAAGTGTTATATTATGCGCCAAATAGTAAATTACGGAAAAAGTCGTCATGCAGAGACGTGGACAAGGGGGAAGTAATGGGGGTGATTAATTAACCCCTTCCAGAAAATTTTTCGTTTTACATTTTTAACAATCATTTGTTATTTTGCTCTATCGTACATTTTCAGCTCCATGGTCATTTAGTACCTATGTTATAGTTTCAATGGCCTATGGCTAATAATAATAATAGTAACATAACATGGTATTGTTTTTTAAATTTTTTGTTGTGATTGTTCAAGGAATTCGAAATGTAGATATTTCGTTGGAGGAATTTGCTAATAGTAACGGGTCTTTCATAAGCGCTCTCTATCTTTAAATAATGAAAAAAAGTGTGTGAGACATCATCGAAATTTTTTATTCGTTTAAAAGACCTATTGATGCCACTATGTGTAGAATATAACATCGTTCAAATGTCCGTTACGGCTTCTCAGGGTGGATTGCACCGAAACGTCCAATTTTCTATGACTGGCGCATAAATCAGGCTAAATTTGAGCGATGGCATAGGTTATGTTGGCTTTGAGGACCGCTGTCGTTTGTGGCTTATCGCATACACCTGCGACTTGAAAAAACCCCAGAATGAAAAGTCTAACAGGGTCAAATCACACGATCTCAGTGGCCAGTTCACATCACCTCCACTTGAGATGACTATGCCCTCAAATACCTCGTGCAGAATATCTAATGTGGCATGAGATGTGTGATGTGTGGCACGTAACGCCGTCTTGTTGAAGCCACATGTCGTTGGTGTCCAGATCATCCAATTCAAGCCAAAAGAAGTTGGTAATCATCGACCTATAGTGCTCGCCCTTGACAGTGATGGCCTGGCCAACGTCGTTCTCAAAGGAATATGGACTGATGATGCCGCCAGCCCATTTTGAGCTCATTACATCCAGATTACGAACTACATTATGATAATTTTATACGTATTTACACTGACGATTATGAAAAAATAATTGATATTGTTGCAAACTACGAGATCACTCATATCTCATGAGTTTTTTCCGAAATAAAATTAAAAAATCCGATAAAATTCAGTCCCTCTTAGTTCAACGAATTTCATCAATATCGCTTACCTTTCTCATAGTTCAAAGATATTAATGTTATCTCTTGTTGCAGATTTCTGACGAAGATCAAATACAGCAGTCAACTGTAATACAACTTCGCAATTTTCTGGGACAGAAAAGGGTGCACCCCCCACCTGGTCTCCTCACCCCCCAACCATCCGATTCTGAAAGCGAAGAGTTGGACATTCCGCTGAAGAAAAGGCGTTGTCGAAACGACAGAGAGTTGGCCCGTCATTTGGCAATAATTACTCCGCCTCCCGAGCCCATAAAACAAATCCCTTCAGAAGTACTCGCCCAAACTCCGCAAAACTTCACGAATAGAAATGCGGAGGTTGTTAGCGTCAAACCTCCGGGACCCGATATAACTCTTTCAGAACCTCTGAATGAGGCAAGTAACCTCTCGCCTCCGCAAGAGAGACTATTCTCAGTAATCATGAAAGCAAATCAGGATGGTACTTGTACGAAACTACCAATCCCCGCGGTGCCCTCAAGAGAAACCAGCCCGAAAACTAATACTTTCGAAATCGGAAATGCCAAAGAACAGATCCGCAATAGCGAAAAAGACGTTTCTAGAGAGGCAGCTCCAAAACCATCGAAAATCACTCTTCCAGCATTAGCACCAAAGTTTGTTGCACCAAGTCATCCACCGCAGACCATCTACATTTCCGCCGATGGTAGAGTTTTACCAACACAGATAGTTTTCATCGCTACACCCCCCAACCCCGACCAGCCAGCGCGTAAAAGAGTCTACGAATGTACGTACGAGGGTTGCGGAAAAAACTACTTCAAGTCGTCTCATCTGAAAGCGCATAACCGAACGCATACCGGAGAGAAACCATTCGTTTGTCAATGGGAAGATTGTGGAAGGTGCTTTTCCAGATCAGATGAACTGTCCAGACACAAAAGGACCCACACGGGAGAAAAAAGGTTCCAGTGCAGTTGCTGTCAAAGAAGGTTTATGAGATCTGACCATTTAGCCAAGCACGTCAAGCGACACTCTAAAGACAAAATCAACACGCCTGTTTTAAGGTCAATTCAACCTGCATTGACTGCAGTTTGTATTTAAAGTACTTTATTATTGGTTGACTTACTGTGTTATTATTATTTTACTGACGTTTCGTTTTCATCTGTACATAGAACATTCCCTTCATGTGAAAATAGGAGGAAATTTTGTATATTTTTATCTGTGATTAAAACTATTTATTTTAGAATTAAATGTCGCATATGATTTTGCGTGGCAGATAAGTATGTGATTTGAATATGTGATTATATTTTTGTAACTATGAATAGTTTTTTATTTATTTATTCATTCATCATTTTCAGTCGCTTTTTATGATGTATACTTGAACGTAACAAAAAAATCAAATTCTAATTTTTTCCAAAAAAGGTTTTTAATAAATGAAAACAGTAAATGAGAATTTATGCAAGCAAAATTCAAAATGGATATCAATGTAGGAATAAGAAATATTAATTTATTCAAGAAACACTTTAAATAGTTTAACAAAAACGCCACACGAGTTTTGTTATACAATAGCTTCTTCAGGCGTGTAAAGACATGGATTTTCATTAAGTATCGGCCGATTTCATCACATATAGAATCATTAATTATTATTGATACTTATTTGCCAACAATATAGTATAGTTCATGGTATTAAAACAGTCCTCCCAACTAAGATAATTCTGCTGATTGGCTCCATATTTAAATTTGACTTCTTTGCATCAAAAAATGGTTACAGTTCAAAAGGCAGATATCTAAATATTTTACTTATTTTTACTATACTGATATTTGTTGTGCTCATTGTTTGAATAATGCAAATTATGAAAACTTGAAGTCTACCAAGCTTTTATATAGTAACACCCATCAATTGGCCGCGGTGGTAGTGCGCCCGACTCACGATCGGAAGATCGTGGGTTCGATTTCTGCCTCGATCAGATATTTTTCTCGAGAGAATTTATCTGGTTGAAGCTGGGATGATTCTGCAACCGTGTTAGGAATCACACGTTAAAAGGTAAGACCTCGTTAGTCCTTAGGTCGCACAAGTTTCTCAACTTCTGAGAGTTGTCGTTCGTATGGGGGCGACAGCTGATTAACGAAAAAACAGATTTCAAACACCCATCAACAATTTTTCATATTAATGTCATATCTATATAAGACTGAAACTTTTTAGAATTATTAATACTCAAATTTCTGAAAACAAATTCGAGATTATCAATAATAACACCACAAGTGGGCTAGCAGCATCAACAAAACTAACAAATGATGGGGTTCAAGGGGAAAAATCAAAATATCGAAAAAACAGGATGGCTACCATTCCAATTTCAAAGAGTTATGATTCGGGAAAAAAATAGGTATACAATATGTAATAACTTGATCTTGACATGATTCTAAAAGAAAATTCGCGACAAGTTCATGATTTCTGTTCCGTGCTGAGTATCTCTTCTGTAATGAATTCTGTGGAAGGGTTTCGTTTCTGACATGGTGGTGAACGGACGTGCCGATAGCGAACGTTCACAAAGAAGGTACGCGGACGCCATTGTTGGAGGTGGAACTCAGTTCGTGTTGTGTATGTCCGCCGATATATAACGTGCAAGCAAAAGTTATAGAAACATTGTTTTAGTGGTTTTAATTAAATAGTGCTCCCATTCACCCCGGTTGGAGGCCGGGGTGGACCGGATGTCCACGTGGGAGTGCTAAAGTGGAAGTGAAGTTTAAAGACCCCTTTATTCACGCCGGTATCCAGGCCGGGGTGGTTCGGATAACCATGTAAAGGGGTCATATATGTGAATTCAAAAATCAGAAGGTCTCCCGAGAAGGAGGCGACCCAATAAATATATACGTAGTACATTTAAAAACACATTGTTTTTTTTTATTGTAAAAAGTGTGACAAAAAAGGGGTGGCAGCATTGCTTCGAGCAAGACAGCTGCGCCCCTCCCGACGAAGCTTCTGTCAAATTGATGTCAATTTGATAGGAGGAGCCTGGACAAATGCGCCCGAGTGGGAAGCAACGTCCATATAATTAGAGAGAGAGAGAGAATTCTGTGGAACGTGGAAATAGCTTTGGCATCCTGTGTCATTTGTCATTCGGTCACAGAACATAATTAAACCTTGATTTTGTAGTCTGCAGCTATTGTTTACTATTCTGTGGCTTTATCCAGTGACGTACGTCTACGACATTAATGAGTATAAACAATTTTTGTGAATTCTATTTTTTTAGGGTTTAGCTTATTACAGTAATGGCTCAGGCTATGGAAACTCACAAAAAGGAAAACCCAAAGAGTTCAGGATTAAGAAAATGTTTTGCAGCTCTAGTAGATAGAAAGCAAGTGAATCTGGATTTGGATGTCTTGGTACTGATGCTGAAGCATGAACTACTAGTGAATCTGGATACTCTTGACAAGAACTTGTCCCAAATAATGCCTTTCATGTTGGTATTTTATATAAGGAACTGGCCTGGATGGCAACGAAGCAAAGAATACTATAGTGGCAAATTGAGTTTCCGAGACTGGTATGAAAAATTTAGACAATACATTGTCGTAAGAATGAATTTCCTAATCAAGAACGGATATAATCAGGCTTTGGATATGATAAGAACAGAAAAAAAGGAAGAAAATGAAAGCCGGAACCTCAACAAAAAATATCAGAGTCATGGAACTCAAACAGATAATTTAATGCCAAAAGTATTGGCTCCGTTTTCATTATCAATACAGTGTCCACCTAAGGTTGTCAATTCTCTGTTTTTTACTGATTCTGGAGGTGAGAGTTTAAACTATTGTTGCTTTGACATTTCACACCCATGTTTCTGGGCCTATGTTATTTAGAAAATGTGACATTCAAAATTTTTATTGTTCTTTCTCATGTTAGGACTCTGGATATTTTTAATAATTTACTAGCTTAAACTCTGATTTCATGTACTTGACTATGTTTTTTATTTCTCAAAAAATGCAATGTTCACCAAAGCTTTGTCGATAAAAATGTCTCTTTGAACAATAATTTATTATTATTACTATTATTATTATTATCTAAGTATTGATGAAATTTCAGATGATATCGTTCTACAGCAACATCAAGAGCTACCTTGGATGCAAATAGGTTTATTAGAATTACTCAACTGGCCACATATTGGAGTAGAATTCAAAAGTCCTGAATTGACATTCAGAAGATTCAATCGCAGCGAATACATCAGATATTTGAATTTGACGAATTGCCCTATCGCTTCTGAAAATCCAGATTTCATTGAACAGGTCGAAATATTGGATCCTACCACCGGAAGGAATTGCTACACTCTTAAACTTTTGAAGAGTTATACTAAGCAGTATTTCGATGTTATAAAAGAAGTGGATGGTGTGAGTATATTTTTGGGGTGACAGTTATAATAAAAATTAACCACTTTGATGAACTCAATGCGAAGATTAACAAATACAATGCATGAGAATTTCAACTTGATTTATGCTTCGTAGATTTCATCATTATTATAAGCAATGACAGATACACATCAACATTTATACAAAAGTAGTTCAGAAGAATTCACTGCGAGTGATTTAATTTAGCAACAATCTTATTCACAAATAATAAACCTTACCAGTTTGAGACTTCATCTAGTTATGATTAAAAATTATCATATATTATTTTTAATTTTGTTTCTATATAGACTGAATCTGTTAAGGAAGAACTGTCGAATGAAATAAAACTGTTGAAAAGTTGAATGAAAAATTTTTTTTTGACTTGATTCATGTCATGATATCATATTGTTTTTCTGAAATTCTCTCCTCTAATTTTGGTTAGAAGAAAAATCCTTGAAATTTGTCTTACTTGATCTGAATGTTGAATTATAGAATATTGTTTTTTTTTAGGTTTGTTTGAAGTCTATTAAAATCATGGAACTTGTTGTCGAAGAGTTTTTGAAAGACATAGAGGAAATAGGAATGAATGATACAATGGCTTCCAACACCTCAGTACTGTTCAATATTGGAAGAGGCTTCTTTGTCAGAAACAAAAAGATGGCCAAGTAAGATTTCGTCAATTCATTTATTCACTTGAGTACATGACACAATTCATTATTTATTTCAGAAAAAGCAAGTCTCTAGGACCTAAAACAGAAGTGGGATACTGTGAAACGTATATCCCTAAAATGGAGACTCAATTACAATTTTTCAAAGGAGTACAAGATACCTCTTCTGAAGAAATAACATTTTCATATCTCAATATTCTGAAAAATGTTATTAGTTTCAATCCCAAAGCTGAACATTCAAGGACATCCATTCCGGTCTTGGTTTTCCACTGTATCTTTTGTGGAGTTCACTGCAGTAAGTCAACTGATATTTTGAAGCACTTGGAAACGTCACACGGTATGGAACGGAACTTCTCGTGTTTGAAATGCATGAAATCTTTACCTGTGGCTAATCTTGCTAAATCCAGATGGAAACATGATTGTAGAAAATGAGTTGAGAGGAATGGGGGTCAGTGATTTTATGTAATTAATGTATAATTTTTCGTTTTTATAAATAAAGAGTTTTGTTACGATTCATTTTTGAAGTTTTACTTTATATGTAAAGATTTTTGTTGATCCTAAGTATGTGTAAACTACTGAAAAATTAAAGAATGTAAACTTTCACAGCCGGAGATGACTGCGTGTAAGCTATTCTCCAGGTTTTTTGGCCGTGGTCTACAGGTTTTCATGTCTAATGTTTCGTCTACTACTGCGGTAGACATATCAATGGCAACGAGGTAACGGTCGAAGTGCTCGAGTAGTTGTCGACGCAGAAACTATAATGCTGGTATTTGTCCTCGGTTTTATTTTATCATAGGTTGGCGTGGCTTCGTTTCTTGTTTACAATTAAGAGAAACAAAACCACGCCCGCCTATGATAATATAAAAACGAGAAATAATCATTGCACATATGACCACGACAGCATTGTCTATAGATTTAAATCTTTAGACAATGATGACAGTTTCTCGTATTTTTGTTTACTTCCTTAGACATCCACCTGAGCGCTGTACAATATATTAATTGTGCTATTGCTGGATAGATGGCAGTTGGCACAATGAAACAATATGTTTTGTTTATTCACATCAACATAGAGAAATTTCCATTGTATATTGTCTTTGCACATCAATTTATGTTAGAATCCACGTGTTGTGTCGCCGGTAAAATGAATGTTTTGGTTGTATTTTATTGTTTATTGACCTTCATTGTGTTATATCGTTACTTTTCCACCCGAGCCAAGTTTTCGGTTTTATTGTATGTACCTTTCAACAAATATAACATATTTCACATTCAATTAAGATCGTTTCTCTTACTAAGGGAGTAACAAATTTTGACATCTGATATCACAAGATTGTCTTGGTATGAGCATTGTAAGTGACTAAGCCACATACTGAAAGAATATATTTCAGTGTTTTTTTTTACATTTTAGTTGTTTTGCTTTTACTTGTCTTTCTGACCAATAATTTCTATGAATCCCTTTTTTTTGACTGAATTGTAAATTTTATATAACTTTTGAATTGATTATTTGTTGGACAGAAAATCATAAATAGCAACTTGAAATGCAGCAAATTCTACCATAACAAATTTGTCCAAATTATAGATCTAGATCCTTGCTGAAAATTTAAAATTTACCGCCAAATGTCACTATCGATAAAATAGTTTCCTTTTTCATCCATCAACTTTGGCGCATTAGGATTTGTACCCACCCCACCAGATATATTGTTTCATACCTAAACGTATAGTTCAAGTAAAAGATATAGTGCCCCCCGCCTTCCAGCAGTTCCCCTTTAATAACACACACATCGCGGTACTCATTACTCATCGCTACATTCTGTTGCTCACCGTAACATGACTTCAAATTTAATTTTATGACTCTTCAGCCAATCATAAAACTCGGTTAGTAAAAATTATCCAATACGAACCGCAAATTCTTCAGTCCACGTGGACTAATTTGTTACGGCATAATTCCTTTGTATTGGTTTTTTTGGCCTTTGACTTCGCCGACACCTTTAAAATTACTATATCGGGTACTTCGACTTTTTTATAATTATTGTAATATGAGTAATATGTGCATTATTTGCTGGAATGACACACGACCCTCGACAATTTTATTTTTTGATGAATTTCATCAGTTCGGACTTCAATTGTCTGATATTATATAAAATGAAGAAGAATTAAAAATTAAAGAAGAAGCATAAAAATTATTAGCTGAAAAAACAATTATATTAAGCAAGAAACCTCAAATGAAATAATAGTGAAATAAAATGCAAGTAAAAATGGAACAAATTGAACAAAAAATAAATTAAAAATATAAAATTGGAGTTCCAATTCGAAACCAAGTTAATTCACGACGTTTCGATTGTTAGTATCCACAATCGTCTTCTGGTGATGACTGGACTGATTCCAGTGATTCCTCCGTGAGCTGACTATTTATAGGTCATTTGAGTACTTTCACTTATCTCTGCTTTCCCTTTTCCGATTCACTGGTTTAGTGGGAGATGACCGTTTGACAAGTCAATAAAAATATTCTTGGACAGTCAAGCGGCGTTGGAAGCTCTTGGCTCCTACCAAGCAACGTCTAAATCGGTAGCAAATTGCCAAAAACGACTTTCCTCGATAGGGAGACTCAACAGGTTGTCTCTGATATGGATTCCTGGCCATACTGGTCTGGAAGGCAATGAGGCTATTGACTCCTTTGTAAAGGAGGGTGCTGCAAGTAGCTTCATCGGACCAGAACCTGTCATTGGTATCGCTTTAGGCTTTGCCAAACGAACATTGAACACCTGGATGGCAAGAAGATTTATGAACTTCTGGCAGAATCTTCCAGGATTGGCTCACTCCAAGGCGTTTATTCACCCTTTGAAGCTTGATACCAAACGTTTGTTGGACTACATTAGGGATGAACTACGGTGTCTAACAGGCCTTCTTACAGGTCACTGTAATTTGAATCATCATATGCAGAGACCCAGACTGCCGGAAGACACTGTGTGTCGCCTGTTTGGAAAATGATAAAACAGCAGAGCGCATACTTTGTACCTGCCCCGTTGGGGACCGAATCAGGTTTTTAGAGTTCGGCAGAGCCGTACTTTTACCATCTGACCTGAAAGACCACTTACCATACAAACTAATCGGCTTCGTTAAGAAGCTGGGTTTATTTGGTCAAGTGTGAATAGGTGTGAACCACAATAAACCCTTGCGGGTTGCGGTGGAGGGTCGAATAGACCCACTCACTTTGGACCTAACTTATATCTATACATTACTATATTGTTCATTGAATAGTATTTAAACGAACATTATTTGTTCCAGACAGCATTTTGATAAAACAGCATTTTGATAAAACAGCATTATGTTAACACAAGTAATGGCAACATTTCTCGCTCTTCACTATCACTACATATTATAAAACAAAGTCGCTTCCCGCTGTTTATTCCATATGTATGCTTAGATCTTCAAAACTATGCAACATATTTTGATGTGGGTTTTGTAATAGATAGAGTGATTCAAGGGGAAAGTTTATATGTATCTAACATACATAATATAGTAGAGAAACACTGATGATTTTAGAGGTTTCTAATGTGATGTAAATGAACACGTTTTTTGCGCTTACTTTGCAAACACTGGCTGAACTCTACGAAATAGATCAAAATAATGTACTACAGTATTGTACACTTCAAAAAGGTCTACAAAAAAGTCCGCGATGGTATATGGGATAACCTGCAGTAACTATTTTTATCCTTTACTTTTTACGAGAAATAGTAGCTTATTTACTAAGCTATTTTAAGCAATACATCATTAATCCTCATCCGATTGAGTACATTATGCATTCAATATAGATAAATATGACCCTTTATAGCATGAAATTTGAATGAATATTTTCGAAGACGCACGCGTTTATATGTATATTTTGTATCAGCATTGCACCCGTACGGAGCCGGAACGGATGTCTACTTGAATAATATACGTGACATAATGGAAAGACAATAACTCAATTATCATAACTGAGCGCAGATTCACTTAGCTTTCTATCTACACTACCAAAGTTTAGGTTTCCCATTTAATACTCATTTCAACAATACATAATTGTTACGACCGTTGTGGTGGTGTAGGAATAGGTCGAAAAAAAAACTTAATTTTATATACAACCCATGCTGCCCAACCTTAATAGATGCACAAAAAAAAACAATAATAGATTTATTCAAAATATGAAAAATAAAAAAATTACATACATATCAACATTATGAAATAAACCGATCATTTTTTTTTCTTTCCCACACCTGACACTTTTTGACACTGGTGATGCCATCTACATTCTGAAAGGTTCGTTATATTGAACTGTAGCTTGCACTTGAAGCACAACACCGGTTGTTCCATAATATGCTGGCTCTCTAAATGAGTCCATATATCACAGAATTTACTGTAACTCGTTTGACAGAAAGTGCATGTATAAATAATAGTTGGAAGTAGGCTGTTCAGGTTGCTCGGGCTAATGGTCCACATGTCATCAAACGGTAAACACTTAGTTGTATCCTTGATCCCAGTGAAACTTATCAGCGACATCAAGAGTTTTGGCGTTATGCATTCTGTGAAACATACGGCTTGATCACTAGAAAAACAATTTTACTTTTTATATCAAAAAAGGCAATAATCATTTAGCATTCAAATTCTATTAAATGAAAATGCTAGTTTCAACAAGCTTTGTCAATGTGAATGCTTAGACAATAAAGCATGATTTGATTGATTGATGATCGCTCAATTGACCTTAATTATTAGTCATGCTTTTTGTTGAATTGAAAGGGAATTATTTTTAGGAGAGATTACCTTCTTGGAAAGAAAGATTTTGGCTTTCTTTGTCTCCATCTTTATTCAAAAAAATGTGGGAATCTTCCAAAGAAAGGGTGAAAGCAATCAATTTCAAAATTACTTCTTCACAAAGATCATTCAAAGAAGAAACCTTTAGACACAAACTGGAAGAAAAAGCCCTTTCGACACAACTACAGTAGAGTCTCACTAATCTGGCACCCTCCACCCGCGTCTCCCTCGCCCCTCTATGTCTATGTGCTCCGTCGCCGTCTAACACTCTAACCTTAAAACTTATCACGTGCATGTATGTATGTATTTTCCTGTTGGTTTGACGTGAGAGTAGTTTGTAGTAAAAATGTCAAGTGAATGGATACACAAGACACTATTTTATTTATTATGATTTTTTCTCTATAATCCAGTAATGCAAACATTGCAATAATACGGCAACCTCTGGTTTTTGACAGTGTCGGATTAGTGAGATTCTACTGTACTTTCATATAAACATTGAGTGTAGATAATCGCATTTCGAAGTCTTTGACAGGCTCGTGAAAAAATTCAAAATGAAAGTTTGTTTGTACCTTGTTTTAATACTTTTATTCCTGGCATAAATGGAGTTTCCAATGTTGAACAGTACTGAGGTATTTGTTGCCATGCTATCCATGCCTATGTCGCCTATATCTAAAATGAAGTCCTCGAGAATTATTTCAATTTCCTTGAGACGAGCCTCAGACCAATCCTGAAAAAGAGAAGATCATTACTTAGTTCATTCATTATGCCACTTGTATCAGTCGAAGTAATTTGCTTAAATCTCTTGGATTGACTGTTGGAATTCATATTCATTTAAGGAGAACATTTCAATCAGCATTGCAGGATTATCTATTGGGCATTTTTACTAACAAAATTGAAAGAAATTGTCACGTTTTGAGGTCTGTTCTTTCTTTTGCGCAACTGAAACAACCTTTTTTGGGTAGTATCGTCACATGTGATGAAAAGTGGATTCCCTACAACAAACAGAAGACGTCCAGGACAGTGTTTGAACACCGATGAAACACCCAACAAAAAAGACCATGGTTACTGTATGGTGGTCAGCGGCTGGTGGGATTCACTATAACTTTCTGCAACCGGGCCATACCATCACAGCAGAGTCCTACAACAGAAGAGGTCCGAACATGCTACACGACAACGCCCATCCATGTTTATATTAGGCTTGTCTATCTGGAAATAAAGTTCTTCTTCTAAAGACTTACCAACATAACCTGATGATTTCTCAGTACTTTTATGTAACAATTACAGTACTCTTTGATAGCATTGAGAGTGTATGCTTGTCTTTCAATTTTATTGTCTAAAATATCAATTTCTTCTATGAAAGAATCAGATTTTTTGAAAAATATCTTTTCGGTGCTGAATGTCAAGCATCTCTTGAAGGTATGGCTGTTGCTCCTTCTGAAATGCAGGTATTGGGACTTGAATTCGACTTCAATACATGGCCAATTGATCAACTGTTTGGTAGTCAGCATCTGATTCCATAAACTGTTAACACGATACTCTTTTATCAAAATGCTGTCTGGAAGAAATAATGTTCATTTTAATACGATTCAATGTGTAGATATAAATACAAAAATCAAATTATAGAAAATATCATCGATATAAAATATAATCACACAAGTGAATTTACCGAAGCAAATAAGACTAAAATTTGTAAATAAGCTAAGAAGTAACTGTCAGATACGAACTGGAAGAAAAGTACTCCTGAAACAACTACTTTCATGTAAACATTGATTTACACCAAAGAAAAAATACTTATAACAAATGAAAAGGTTTCTTTATATAATAAAATATTATTAAAATTTGTCTGAAAGTTAAATGCCGATGAAACCACATGAGAATTCATAAAATATGGCGAAAATAGATGGGAGATTGGAATGTATTTATATGTGTGTAATACACAAAAAATAGTGTCTTGAAAATTTGTGATTTAACACTTTCCCATCTTGAGTATTAGGCTCGATGTCAAATGTTTTTCTGATTGATTTTTTGACAATTCTCAGTCAAACGAAAATGAAATTTGTAGATATTACGATGGTAGTTAGGTTTCTTAAATCCACCAAGTGGAGAATCTCCAAATTCTGTTTTTACAGGCACTCAAAGTTTCTTTGGTTTCAGGTAAGCATTTTTTCAAATGTAAGAATGAGTAATTTTTCAATCCGTATTACTGGATATTTCAATGCAAGAAGTAACTAACTTTTTTGGAATTGACCTGAATTAAATAGTTATCACGAAGTTTTGGACTTTCATTGCAGTTGTCAGCTGACGTACTTACATGGACAACTCTCGAAAGTCAGAAATTGTAGGAGCTGAGTGTTAACAAGTTCTTACCTTCTGACTTACGATTCATATCACCTATCATTTTATAATTACACAACTAGAAGTCTGTTGGTGAAGTAACTTTTCAGTAGGTACGTACTAACCTTCTGCACTTTCACAAAAAACTAAGGAATTCAATATTTTTGCAGGTCCACACACTTCAATTGAAAATGGAGATGATGGTTTTTCTCCAATTACAGGAGTCTGAGTACTGTTATCGTTTTTCAAAACACAATCTTCCTCGGGACGATTTTTTTTCAACATAGCCACAGCTTTATCATAATCGTTTTTGATAACGTAATTCACCTTGAAAATCAAGTATTCTTTGAATTTTTCAAACCAATTTTCCAAAGTTATTTGTTTGTTGAAATAATTACTGCTTTTTAGCCATCCTGGCCAAGATTTTATGAAGTGTATCAGCATAAAAGGTAGAATAGTTCGAAGTTTAGGCTTCAATAAATTGAAATTCACTTGTAAATTTTTCTTCAATATTCTATTCAAAGTATTCAAGTCCAATTCAAGTTGTTTTCCTTCAACGATATTTTTAAAGCAGTCTTCTAATGTAAAGTTCTCAGTATTTGTAGGACTATTCATATTTGCCATTAAAAAAAGTAGTCTTTTCTACAAACAATTATTATTATTTTACTTTCTAGTTAATTTAGGTTATGTTATTACAGTAGGGTCCCCACTCTAGTGGTTTGTGACAGCAGGGTCACAATCACAATATAGCATATACTGTGGTGGTAGGGATCGTAAGCAGAGAACACCTATCGTGCTTTGTGATCGTAAGAACAAAGATGATTGAAACCGTGGTGGTCGAATCATATTCGCTTTTGTTTTGTCAAAAACACGACACGTGAATTGATATTGACCCAACTTTGTTCTCATGTTGATAGACGGAACAATTGTTTCCAAATGTGAACATTGGTTGCGCTTAGCGCCTCTGCATACATTGGATCTCTTTATTTATTGAAGAATCAAAAGTGCCGTAGCTTCGGAATTTTTGTCAAAATATTCTACATTGGGAGTTCAAGTGATTACACCATGTTATTTCTCTTCATCTTTGTAAGAACCCTAAAGTCAGGGTTCGTAAAAGAACCCTCGAGTAAAGTAGTGGCATCTACCCATATGAACCGTTTCATTCGCAACGTTAGCGCCTTGAAACATTGTATCAAAATATTTCAGTTGAATTTAGAACTCGCTTAAACAGTTTTCTTCCAATGACGTCACAGAAGTCCCCTTATTTCATGTACCCCATATTTCATGACCTAACGTAACCCTCTATATACGAACCATGTACATTACCTAGATTAAGTGATATGTTTTTTGGTAACCAATCAGAACTACCTATATCGAAGGAAAGCCCAGAATAACGTTAAAAATAGTGACAAGCATTTCGAATTAAATTCTAAGAAAAGAAATATGAAAACGATCGAAATAGTCATTTGGCCCTTGAAATCGTAGCAGAAAACGCAGCCTATGAAACAGAATTCTGAAACTTGTGATGTTTTACGTATTATGCATCTCAGAGATTTTTTTTTTGAGTCTTCACTAAACCAAGGCGAAGCATCGTAAAACTCGCTATATCCGTTTTCTAGAAATTAAACTGAGAATACATGAAATTTTGAAAAAAAATAAGCATATATTCAAAATCCACTGTTGCCTAGGACATTGACATTCTGTGATTAAATCTTTGACACTTTAAACTCTGACAGATGTTTTATGATTTGATTTGACGTTAACTTATTTTTAGGACTTCAGTTGTTTATGCCTAATTTTATTTTTATAAATTATTAAATCGCAACTATAAGAAAGAACTAGTCTTTGTGATTCATAAGAAAGAACTCTATAACAAACTAAAATGTTTTCAAGAAATGAAAAGAAAAAGAAGAATCATTCTGGAAAATCACTTTCACAGGTTAAAAAAGGAACTACTATGAATTTCAGAAAGTCATAATTGCATACAATAGTCTCTAGGTGGATTTATGCACCCAGTTTTCTGTGTCGTAAAAACTCTCAAGTAATAAGATCACTAATTTTTAGTGACAACATTCGTGTATGAGCATAGATATCTTTTATTTACTTATGATATCTGTATGCATGATCTGTAAGTTTTTAGTAGTACAAATTAAAATAAAAAGACTTATAATTGGTGCATGAATTCACCCTCAGTTTCTTAAGTGTTTAAATGGTTGGTGTGACTAGTGGTGGAACCACTCTTGTTCTGATAATCGGATGAATTTGATTCTTCAAAGTTCTCAAGAAAAGAATTTGAATGTTTTTAGTGCTCGTATAATGTCCATCTTGATTTCTTAAATCGGATCGTGTATTGCGATTATGAAAACAGTTAATCAACATCTTGCCCATCACTATGTGCGATATTTTATCAACTAGATGATCAACAGTGAGATCACCACTTATAATGATTCTTAGAAAGTTATAATTACTGTTAAATAATCTAAACTTGTTACTGATATTCATGTTTTTTTATTTTCTCTCTGGAATAGTTATTTATTTTCCATTTCATTGTTACTGTTTCTTACTGACTTGTAAATTTTCCACCTATAAACAAATTGTATTTTTTCTGGGAAAATAATTAGTTAATATTCGCATGAAATCTCTCAACTCATTTTTTATTCTCAGTATGGGCTTTTCGACATCCCCTCTAACTTTGATGAATCAGGAAATGAGGATAACGATAATGATAGTGACTTAGAAGCTGAATTGGCAGCATTGAGTGGGGGCGGTAATCCAACTCCTCAAAGAAAAAAACCTGCAAAGAAAATATTACCAGAAAGAGAGATAAATGCGATGGTAGCAGATTCCATGAAAGACATTGACGATGATGATGTATCTGTTGATGAAAATGATCCAGACTTACTCAGCGAACTAAGTGAACTCACAGGTAATAATGATAATGATTTTTTCACACATTCACTTCACAATTTCAAATTGCAAATTACCTTGAGTAGGTTTATGTGAAGAAATGATTCGCTTGATAAGTGATCTAACATTTGTGTCACACAAAAATACTTTCAACCAATTATTAAATTTTAATATATAAGTTCAGGAATAAAATAATGAAGGAAATAATACATACTGTTATTTCCAAAAAAACAATTGTTTTTCATAACTAAAATTTATTTTAAACTATTTTGAGTGTATCAAACCAAGAACACAACTATATTCCTATGTTGGGAGTTGGTTAAATTTGCTATGAAATTCAAAACATGTAATGAAAAAATATAATTGTCTCATGGCCAAGATTTTTTACTCAGGGGTAGAGCAGATTGGAAGATTATCTATAATTTTTTGAAAAGATGCGGCAGCAAAGTTCATTTCAAAATTGCTGAATTTTGACCAAAAAACCGTTGCATGAGCATCGCTCAGGAATTGTTGAATATCGTCAACGGCGATCATGATTTGCTTAAAAGGGTCATAACTGGTGACCAATCATAGGTATATGGTTATGACATTGAAACCAAAGTCCAATCGTCCCAATGGAAGGGCTCAGGAGTGCCAAGACCAGAAAAAGCACACCAAGTTCAAACAAATGTCAAGGTTTTGCTCAGTGTTTTACTCGATTACCGTGACGTAATGCATCAGGAGTTCTGGCCACATGGTCATACTCATGCCTCAGCCACCGTATTCACCAGATTTGATCCCCTGTGATTTTTTCCTGTTCCCAAGATTGAAGAGACCCACGAGAGGATGGCGTTTTGCGACGATTGAGGAAAAAAACCCGAATAGCTGAGAGAGCTGAAGAACATTCCAAAAAGTGCATATCAGAACTGCTTCAAAGGTTGGAAAAAACACTGGCACAAGTATATTATATCTGATAACTGATTTTGGGGTGTGTAAAGATGATGACTGAATCTTGTTGCATAATTGTGGATGTCATTATGACAGGGAATTTTGTATCTGTTTTTATCTATATAACAGGAAACTTCCAATATATGTATGCAGAAAAGTGGGAGTATATTCAATTTTTTAAAAAGAAGTTTGCATGATTCTCTCTGATTTTTATTTAACATTGCACATATACATTTTTTTTGTACTAGGAATAGTTTTTGTGCTGAAGACGATATGCCCCATAACAAAATTCCATATGATAGTCGGGATTGTATTTCCGCAAAATAATAATTTCTCAGAACATTTATATTAATTATTCTCTGAAGACATATGATCTGGTAAAGCTTACTGTTCAATTTTTATATTGTTTCACTTATCTGAGATTCCCAATCAAGTGTATCACTCATAGTTACACCTAGAAATTTAATGGTGTGGCACTTCTCTAGAGTCGTTTCCCCTAAATGAATCTCCATATTTTCAGCCGTTCTCTGTTTTGTGTGGTAAATAATAAACTCTGTCTTGCTAGCATTGATATAAAGACTATTAATGGAGAACCATAAAATGATTTTTCCATAAGATCATTGCAAGCTTGTTGATTTAGATCGTGATATTGTTGGGATACTAATATGGAGAGATCATCAGCGTATAACGTTAATTTAAAATGTGAGAGGTATTTTACAATGTCTGCTATGTAGATTGAAAATGGAGCTGGAGCAAAAACACTCCTCTGAGGAACTCCAACTTCTACAGGTGCAAAATGAGAGTGGTGAATTGTGTTTTAACCGCTATATTTATTGATTTCTTTAGGACGTCCTAATATACATACATTATTTTAAAAATATATAAATAAATGACATAAATAACAAAAATAATGATATGATGGAAGAAAAATAATAAAAACAATTTTTCAATGATTTCAGAATTATTTCAACATGAGGGTATACATAATAAGTATATTACCAAACAGAAAAAAGAAAAATCAAGGATGATATTTTATATAGTTCATGAGTTTTTTTTTGAATTGCAATATACTTGCAATATTAACCTGGTATTTTTCAAAATATAACTTCTAAAGGAATTAATGATTGTTATTAGGTGGTGCAGCTGAAGATGATTTGCCTTCTCCACAAAATGAAACGCAAAGTGCTGGTTCTACCGATACCAAGAACATTTTGAGTGAAAGGTTGAAAAATTATGAAATTGCTGAAAAAACAGCAAAAGAATCGGGAGAAACAAGTAAATCTAGGCGATACGGAAGGGCCATCAAAACATTGAAAGACCTGTTGAAACAAGCAAAATCAGGCAAACTAATAGATTTGAATGATGAAACGGTACCCCCAGAAATTCATCCCGTCTCTCAAAAACCACCAAGTCAACCAGTGCCTACTAGACCAGCTCCCGCTATACCTCCCAGAGCACCAGTTTCACAAGAAGATGCAGGAAATAACGTGAGTTCACCACTTCTGCTGCCGGAAACCGTAGAAGAAAATGTTAGGAAAGAAAAAGAAAACATAGATGAAGAGTTGTTGAACATGCTTCGTGAGCGTCAAAAAGAGTATAAAGTTGCTGCTCTTTCAGCAAAGAAGGCTGGCGACTCTAAGAATGCTATTATGTTTGTTAAGATAGCTAAACAATTCGAGGCAGTTATTGCTGCAGTCCAAAACGGTCAGGAAGTGGACCTTTCAAAAATGCCTGGTCCACCAAGTGAAGTGTCTCTTAAAAGCGAGCCCAAAATTGAGGACAGTGAAACCCAACGAAATACTGCACCTGAAATAGCTTTGCCAGAAGAAGCTGCCGGTTTACCGGAGCCACAACTCATCACAGCTTCCACAGATTTAGAAGCACTTGAACAACGTTTGGCTTTTTATAAGGAGCACGAGACTAAAGCTAAAGAAGAGGGAAATTCTAGTAAGGCAAGACGCTATGGTAGATTAGTGAAGCAATTCGAGCAAGCTTTGAAGTTACAAAAAGCGGGAAAGCCTGTTGCTTTCGATGAATTGCCAACGCCACCAGGCTTTGGTCCGTTTCCTACTCTAGCTAAGGCTGAAGCAGCTTCTAAACCAGCAGTAAATATGCCAGCACAACCTCCGAAAACAGATTCAACTGAAAATGAAGACAAAAGGCAGATCTCCGCTGAGGGGCCGAAACTTTCTGGTAAGTAAAAACAAATGAATAGAGAATAAAAGTTTATTTGAAATCTAGAAGGTCATGAATTGATATTCTAGTGAATGATGTCAATCTCAACAACTTTTCCTGTGAAAATTGTTCTATATTTGAAAATTTAAAATATCTCTCCTGATTACTCTTTTGAAGCTTGGATATCTTCTTAGAAATTAGTAGAGTCAAACTTGATTTAATGACAAACATTCTTTCTAAAATCTACCATATTTGATTTCTCTATGTGTTTGTGGTTATTTTTTTAAGGAAATACAACTCACGCTGAGAAACAAGTGCTGATTTTGTTAGCAAAACAGAAACAGTTCAAACAAGCTGCACTGCACGCAAAGAAACAAGGTGAAATCAATCAAGCTAAAGAATATCTCAAGCAAGCAAAGGGATTCGATAAATTGATAGAAGCTGCGCAGGCTGGTTTGCCCGTCGATTGGTCTTCTATTCCTGTTTCACCAGAGGCTAAATCCCAATTGGATAACGAGTAAGTGAAAGGATGTTCAAATAAACCATTATATTTTTCATATTATTTTATTTTACATGACTGGTGATGCTCAGGTTAGACGCACTGCCCACGAAGACGGTCACAAGTCCGGAGAAAAGAGAGGCCACCTGCTACGAGTTAGAATAGAATAATTCCCCACTTCTGGGCTATGATGAATATAATATATAGTCCAGAACGAATATAATGACCTGATACATGCAATTGACCTTCAAAAAAACCTTCCAAGGTGAACTTTGAAGTCACTCAATATTATACCAGGTCGTACTTTTTCCCACTGTAATCATTTCCGTAATAGAAAATATTGGTTACCATAAAAAAACCGACATTGATCTTTAAATAGTTTTCAAGGTCATGCACAAGGTCATTATGGCATAGCCAGAAAAATTCTAAGTCACTGGTACTTTGGGTTATTTTTACAGCTCCACTTTTTTGAGTAATTATCGGGACTTTTGGGTCACCCTATATATAGAGATCCAAACAGCAAAAAATATCTTAGTTAGACGAAGCATTCTTTGAGCAGCTTTTCCCTTATTTTTTTTACAACCACCATTAAACAATCTTGTTTCATGTAATGTTTATACAGGTCTCTAGTTGGATATTTGTCATATTTTCTCCCTTTTCTTCGGGGATTTGGATCACGCTGTATGTAACTTGATGAATATTGATTCAAAATTCATGAAATTCATGAAATCCATAGATTGGAGTAGGAAATCTTATGTAGTTGAGAGAACATAATAACAAACGAAGAGAATGACCGGAATTTATTTGTTGTTCAAGAAGTATTAGAAATAAAAATTATTATCAATAACTAATTTTGTTAGTATTGTTTTAGATATGACATAATTATGTCGGATGAGTTGGATGAAAATAGATCAGAAGACATGGACCTATTAGCTCGTTTAGAAAATCAGTTACAAAAGCAGCTGAAAATGTGCCTTACCACAAGAGACCACAACAAAGCACTCGGTGATGTTGCTAGTATGAATAAATTCGAAAGGTTAGCTTTGAACGTGACGAAGGACCTTGATGTTATTAGAATGGCCCGCAAGTCTTCTAAAATAGTCCCTAAGTTCCATTATGAACAGAAAGATTTCTCTATTGTGAAGAGCTTCACCGAGATAATGGATAATCAAATGGAAGTGACCATTCACAGAGGAATCAACTATCAATCAGATAATCCAAAAGAGATTGACACTTATGTGAAGCTGGAATTCCCTTTTCCACAGGTGAGTACTGTATGTGTACAGGGTGGAAACATTTTGTTACAATCTAAAGAAAATATTTCGTTACACACTGAAGAAAACATTTTGGTAAAGTCTAATGAAAATATTTTGTTACAATTTGAAGAAAACATTATTACAATCTAAAAAAACATTTAGTTACAGTTTGAAGAAAACATTTTGTTAAAATCCAAAAAAAACTTGTTACACTCTAAAGAATTATCTGTTACAGTCTAAAGAAAACATATTGTTACAATCAAAAGAAAAAATTTTGTTACATTCTAAAGAAAACCTTTTGTTATAATCTAATGAAAACATTTTGTTAAAATCTAAAGAAAACATTTTTTTACAATATGAAGAAAACATTTTGTTACAATCTGAAGAAAACATATTGTTACGATCTAAAGAAAACTTGTTACAATCTAAAGAATTATCTGTGTTACAGTCTAAAGAAAACATTTTGTTACAATCTAAGAAAACATTTTATTGCAATCGGAAGAAAACATTCTGTTACAATCGAAAGAAAACATTTTGTTACGTTCTAAAGAAAACATTTTGTTACATTCTAAAGAAAACATTTTGTTACAATCTGAAGAAAACATTTAGTTACAATCAAAAGAGAACATTTTGTTACAATTTGTTTGAAAATGTCCTTGTAGGACGAGACCGCAGTAACGTTAGTTACAAATTAAAGTGGTATGAAAACATAGATAATTTCAATTCTCATTTAACATCATTATTGTTACATGATGTTATTATTGTTTCAGGATACCCCTTTTAGCGATAGAACTTCCACAATAAAAGACACAAATAACCCAGAGTATCAGAAAACTTTTGTCATTCCTATACAGAGAAATTCAAGGCAATGCCAAAGGACTTTCAAAAGGCATGGTATTAAATTTGAAATATACTCGAAAGGGTGAGTTTTTTATTTTTCTATTGAACAATAACAGTTCTGATATCGGCTCTGACTTTCACATTAGTTGTTCTTGTTGTTTCAGTGGTTTCTTCAGGAGTGACGTACTCATAGGAACCGTTAATGTGAAGCTACAACCCTTAGAAACGCAATGCGAGATTCATGAAAGTTTTGATGTGAGTATAAATTCATTAATTTTTTTATCTCATTGTGAATTGTCAGTTGTAATTCATTCCATTAGAAAATAGTTACATTTTTCAGGGTATTTCAAAAAGTAGCTTTTTCTAATAGAAAAAAAACGACCTTGCTCTGGTGGTCGAGAAGGACTACATCAGACTTATTAGCTTGTACGAGTCTGAGGATGGGGAACGAATAGTTCCAATGAATTCGAAATTTGACACCTCTCATTCTCCAGAACGGATTCAATATCTCCCGGAGCGTTGGGCAACACTGGTTTGTCGTCAATACCGTAAAAGTGTCATAGGTGGTAATAAAGCACCCTCAGGGCTCCGTTATGTCGATGAATATAGGCTGAGACTGCATATGCTGGACAAGCTGACAGCAAATGCATTAGGGTCTCAGACGCCTCAGCTAAGACAGGAACCTCTATACCCATCACCCGACTGCGGCAAACTAAGGTGTTGAGGACACCATCCTGGCAGGTCATGAACCCTTCAATTTCCGACTTTAGCCCACTCGACCTGAGGAAAGCGAAAGGCAGATGTTTCAATAAGCCAATGTCTTCAATTTTATTAAAGAACACCCCGTGCATTGGCTTATCCTTGTGTTGCCTCAGGAGTAAAGTGATCTCTGCGGCTTTTATATGGGCCTTTTGGTGGATGGGATCCAACTTGGTGACAGAGTTGTAATCACCTTGTTCAGTGTCGAAAACTAAACCGAGTTCACCAGCTGCTCGGGCAGCTATTCTGAAGAGAAATGCTCCAATTTCTGCTCTCTCATTGTTGCGGACCATGCAGAGAAGGGGATCCGAACTCCTGATGACTTTATTATTATATTGAACTTGAGAGTCTTACTCAGTCTATTTTGTTAGTTTTTACATTTCTTCAAACATGTGCTTATTACCTATTTAATAAATTCATTGCATTTTATCTTTATTAATTCATATTTTTTTTCAGCTATTAGATGGAAGGAAAAAAGTTGGTGGAAAATTAGAAGTTCAAATAAAATTGAGAACGCCTATTGTGACCCAACAAGTGGAGCATATTCAAGAAAAATGGCTTATCATAGATCAGTAAAATAACCTGGTTAGTCTAATATCTTGTATATGTAAATATCCCAGAATCAATGAAACATTTTTATTTGTCGAAGACAGTGAAACAGGTTTTAATTAATTTTAAGTTTCAAAATATAATATATGTATAGTAATATAAAATAATCCATCGCACTCAAATTTATCATGGACATTCGAAGAGAAAATTTGTGATACTATGTGATATTTTCTCGAGTGCACCTTTCATATGAATATATTCACTCAGTGCTTTAAATGTTCTTAGCATTCAATTAAAATGTAAATACAGTTTAAACTGATTCTATGTTGATATTTTAATGTTTTTCCTTACAATTGTCCCCTTTTCCAAAACCTACTTTTTAATATAAGAAACCGTGATCTTTTCTCTTATTTTGTGGAGAACATGGTGTATGATATAATAAAGAAAAATTATTGTTTTTTTGGGGGCACCCACAATCTATGAAACTTTATTTGTGTTCTGTATTCAATACACGGTTGAAACTAAATGAACAGATTCATTTTTGAGGGAGAAAAACAGTCATTAAATTCACTGAATGAAACAAATCCAAATCAAAAACAACTCACACCCAAAACGTACTTGATTGATTTTCTATTCTGGAACACGTTCTCTTTGTTGAGGTGATTTTCCGGACTTTGACTTTTGGTCTTTTGCATTTGACTATTGGCCTTTTGTATTTGACTTTTGCTCTTTTGCATTTGACCTTTGTCTTTTGTTTTTAACTTTGTCTTTTGAATTTGTCTTTTGGTGTGATTGCTCTTTGTAATTTAAGAACTGGGTATTTCCACTAGGTTTCACCATAACCTAATATATATGTTGATCCCATTGCGTTCTTGGCTTAAACTTTCGACCTTTGTGGGTATCATCAGTTTGGCGATGCAGCAGAGAACAAAGCTCGTTCAATTTGCACAAACACAATCGAAGGCTGTGCCAGGTTAGTGCATTTGCAAAGAAAATAAACGTGATAAACGACGAATTTTGTCGAAATTTGGATCTAAATTTCAGAGCTATCTAAAATATTTGTTGCCTCAGGGGTTTTCTCTGATTGAAGAGATGAATTGAAGTCGAAACAGGCCACACCGTAAACGTACTCGACTGGTTTTCTAATCTTGAGTACACGTTCTCTTTGCGCGGTGTTCCTCCGGATTTTTGCATTTGTCTTTTGCTTTGACTTTTGGTCTTTTGCAACTGACTTTTGTCTTTTGCTTTTGACTTTGTCTCTTGCTTTTATCTTGGCTGATCTTTGCAACTAGAGAACTGGTAGAAATGAAAAAAAAAAAATGAGGAAGCTACTGTGTTAGTGAAACGCATCTGGAAATTGAAAATTTGTATAATTATCATGGAGAATATCAATTATAAATTTGTGTCGTATACTATTTTCAAATTTAAATATTTCATTTATCATGGAAAATATCAATTATAAATTTGTATCGTATACTATTGTCAAATTTAAATATTTCAAAGATAAAAGATTGGAAAAATTTCACTCACTGTTTGAGATATCTGAGAAACACTTTAATTGTGATGCACTGTTTGGAATATTTGGTGTAGTAATGAATATCACTGGAGTTTTATTCCAACACCAAATCGTTATTTAATCAAGAGGAAGAATAAATCTTCCTCATGAACATGATCACTTGGTGATTGAAACACGTGTTGAGGTATTGAAAATAACGGTTTGGTGTTGGGATGAAACTCCAGTAATATTCAACACCTTAATTATTTGAAAAAATAAAAAAATTATGCGTGTTCCGTGTTCCCATTTAAACATTGGCATCCAATTACGTACACCCTTGGGCAATAATATTTTCAATACATTCTACAATGACAGATTGAGTGAAACGAAGAGAAGAAATTGAAATGTGACAGTAATTATCATTATTTATACTTTCAACATAGTGACATATATTACACCTGCGAATAACATTACATAACTTCTTGGCCACTGCATCACAAAATTATGTGACAAATCAAATCACAAGATTTTCACACGTAAATATACAAGTAAAATATCGAGGCGTTGTATCTGAGACATCGATGTCGGTGATCTGAGATCTGAGACGTGATGAGTGACGTAATGCCAGGACATTGAATCTCTTCATTTTTTCGTTGTTGGAATTAATGTTATTTCTTTAACGGCCAGTCCATATTTTTTATTTCGTCTCTGACTGTCACTGTCACTGTCAGTGAGGTTAGCTACGTGTAATTTTGAATTATGGATATGTATGTATTGTTCTCAAAGTTTACCGTCAAGTAGATCATAAACAATAAATGAAAAGATGGTTCGGAGAAAAAAAAATGTCGATGATATTCTTGCTCGTATTAACTTCCCACTTTTTACGGTTCAGATATTGTCTCCAAGATATGTAATCGTTGGGGGTGGTGGTGGAATTGCAAAAACAGGAATAGCTAATGGTTTTGTAAGTTTAATTTTATGTATAAGATTGTTTGTAAAAGCATATTTTCCAGGAAATTTTCGAACTGTCCCATGATGGTTCCAAATTCATTGCTGAGGAAGTTACCAGGCATGAAACTGGGGGAAACGTTGTGATGTATTGTTCCACTTTCACTGATAACAAACGTTCATATGTAGTAGCAGGTCAGGAAGATCACTGTCAACTATATCATGTGAATAGTGAACTTGTCAGCGAAGAAGTTGAAAATATTGATCATAACTCGCCCGAGACTCGACAAAGAAAACCGCAAAAAACTGATAGGAACAAAAATTTGAAAAAGAGTTTGAAGTTTGTCATGAAACCCAGTGATAGTATACAAACTGATTTCATTGGTCCAGAACCTCTATCTAGAGTAGCTAGGATACATCATAATGGTAAACTCATGGCCACAGGTGAATATAATATACATTATTTGATTATTTCAATACTATTTTCTTTTGCTTTAACTTTCATGATTTTTATGTACCTTCTTCAAAGTTGTATCTTTTCCTTCGAAGTATGTCATAATTGTTTATGAAACTAAATGATACTTTCACAAGGGACTTTTTCGTTGATCCACTTGGCAGTTTATGAAATTGGACTAGAAATTAATGTGATTTTGTCATATTTACACAGCTATCGAAAAGATTAAGGAAAGCCTCTTATTTTTTGTCATGTAGAATGTGTCTACACAAGCTATAAAAAGACTGATGATCTTTTTTGTCTTATAGGGCAAAACCAAGTAAACTTTTAAAGACTATAATTGTAATTTTTTTTATTTTGATTTTTTATGATATTGCCAACCAATAATAACAAAACTCATGAAGTAATAAAGATCATGTAGCATGCGATCTCAGAGATAGAATTATTTTGGTGAAATGAAAGTTTTTTATTCTGTGCAAACACTTAGAATGCGTGCTGAAAGGTCCTCCACGATTGTGAGAAGACTGAAAACTTTAGACTTCTCTGATATTTTCTGTGATATTTACCCACAGGAGGAACTGATGGACACATAAGATTATGGAAATTTCCGAGTTTGCAACCCTTAACCGTGTTGAAGGCGCACGAGAAAGAAATTGATGACATTGACTTTAGCCAGTTTGGAAATTTTCTGATTACTGTAGCGAAGGATGGCTTGGGGATTCTTTGGGACTGTATTAAAGGAAAAGAATACAGTAGGTTGAATTGGAAACAGCCTGAAGGTTCCAAATATTTGTACAAACGATGTAGGTAAGTGTTACTCAAAATATTACAAACATTCTGGAGACACGAGACATTTATATGATCCATCATCTACCAAGATATTTTTTCTTTCCTGATACATTACCTTTCTGTGAAAGGAGGAGCTGCGTGGATGTTATGGAATGTATGGATATTTGAAGGGATGGTCCATAAATTAAATTTCACAAATTATTTTCTCTCGGCACTTTTATTGACGACAACATTGTCATTTTACTTTTTTATCCCGACTCTATATCTGAAATATATTCTATTTCTAGTAGACATTTTTTTGTCTTCCTCTGTTACTAAAAATTATTATTGAACTACCTTTCAATTTTGCAGATTTGGTGTAATTGAAGGGGAAGATAAAAAGTCTGCGTTATATACAATATCCAATCCTACTGGTGTTGCAAAAAAACAGAAATCTTATCTTCAACAGTGGCTCCCTGAAGATGGACTACTAAAAAAAGTTGCAGAATTCGACGAATGTCTTTCCGCTTTGGTAGTTAGAGATGATGGTAGATTTGTAGCTGTGGGTACCATGTTCAGCGGATCAGTTTTAATTTATGCGTCTTTTAGTTTGCAGGTAATTATTTCACCATATGAGCATTTGAACTCCGAAGTGGATTCGATAACACACAATGCACAAACGTGCATTTGCAATTTAAAATTCTAATGTTATAAACTCCATTGATATACCATATTGTTTTTTAGAATGTGACAATACCTACAAATGCTTTCAATACAAAGTGACATATAGGTATATACCAAGGTTATAACTTTTTCCTGGGGTTATATCCCACATTTTGAATCCTCGTTGAATTGTTCGTGTGATTTTCTTTTGCTACTTGAATTTTTTAGTAATAGAGACAATATGACAGGTTGCCAGCCACTCTATCACCTTTAGAATAAAATTGTTATTGTTCTTTCCCTTTTTAGCCAATGTTGAATATTGTTGGTGCACATTCCATGTTTGTTACTGGACTAGAATTTTTCCCTGTGTTGAATGAAAGTCGTACAGTTTGTAGCGTGGCCGAGGCTGCAGTATTATCAATTTCTGTGGATAACCATGTTTGTATCCATACACTGCCATATAGAAGTGAGTTAAATTACTAGCCAGTTCTTTATACAATGAGATCCTTTGCGTTGTTTTATAGAACAATAATTAATTTTGCGATTTTTGTTTTAGGAACAATGCCGCTGTGGGTAGGAATATTGATATTAATTTTCACATTGTTCCTCTCCTTCACATTTTGCTCTTATATAGGATTATAAACAGATGTAATAAAATTTTTTTGTTTATATTTTTCATTGTAGTTATTTCTCATCACATCTAAAATATTCAATGGATGGTAATTGACTGGAGAATCTATGTAAAAAAATAGTCAATTCTGGGAACATTTTGGAGCTTGAACATCTTCTTTTCTTCCAGAATATCTTGCCACTAGTGGCAAAAATTAACAAAATAATGAAAATTCGTAGTATTTTGCTAGGTAGAATTTGAACCTGGACTGGCAAATTGCTCACGAAGCAGTGTCATAAAAATCAAGAAGAATCCTATTTTTTGGTTCAATGATGAAAAACATTCATTTTACATGAAACGCCCTTCTTTATTTTCAGTTTGAATGAACTACTTCTCAACGTAAAAGTTTATGTTTTTGAACTAGCCGTAAGTTTTTATGATAGAATTACAATTCATTTCGAAACGAAAAATATTAACATTGAACTACAACTCACATTTTCAATTTTCGGAGAATGTGAGTTTCATATTCTTTGTATTCAAATGGACATGTTGGTGGGTTCGTACGCGGTAAAACTCACATTTTACTCTTTCAAATCGTCTTTTAAATAGGAAAATGTGAGTTGACGCATGACAAATTCACGAACCTGTCCATTTGCAAAGACATAATTCAACTCGCATTCTTCGAAAATTAGGGAATATGAGTTACAGGCACTTTATTTTTTCAGACAAGACCTAACGTGTTTCATTCAATATGTTGTATGCGTTTTTAATCTGCACTTGGTGCAACACTTTCCTTTTTTCGCCTTGGACAACGACATTTACTTAAGTTGATGATAGAAGAATGATGAAGGAACGTTAATGTCATAGACGTCACAACTATTGGACTGCCTTTTAGAAAGAGATGGAATGCTGTGCGTTAATTTTTCCTTTCTAACTGTGAGCCAAAGAAAGAAAAAGATTATCTAAAATAAAATATTCAATTCATATTTTATTTTATTTTTCACGTTCTCTCTCTAATGTAGCCTACAAGGAATAAATTTACGAAGTGACAGGAAGTCTATGGTCACAGGCCGTAGACATGACAACGTTGCTGATTATCGAGGCAATACATGACGCATCCAAATACTTCCCTCTATGATTCGATCATGCGCTCTGTGATTTATTACTAAAAATTGGGGATCTGTGATTGGGGTTAGTACGACTACTGGGTTTTGTAGCATTCTACTGGGCCTAGTCTATGTTATCATCTCTATGGCTGGGGCGCTATCGCTATTGATGCTATGACTTTAGTTCTTTAGTAGTGTTTTTGTTCTTGTTCTATGTTTATTGTTTATGTATTTCAATTGAAAATTTTCTTATGTATCATTTAAAGTGAAGGTTTCGTAATTCTTTACCTTCTTTTTCATTCAAAATTGAGAACATTTCGGAAATCATGGCAGATGAGAATTGTTGGAGAACAAATTCTTTTAGACAAAGTATTGTTGCTAAAATGTAAGTAAACAGATTATTTTATAATGTGATACGATATTGAAGGAAAAGCAACAAATGAATGTTCCATTGCAATATCGCAGAAATTTAAAAACTGTGCGATATTTCAAAAGTTCTTCGAACTAACATTTTTTTTTGAATAGGTTCAAAATTCGGTTTCCATTAACCATCTTAAAGCAACCCTCAAAAGAAGGTATTTCAACTATACTTTACATCTTCTATGTGGGTGACATGATGTTCAATATAGTGAATCTAAGGAGTTTCTATTTACCCTTTTGAATATGCTGATGATGTGTTAAGAATACTGTGTCACACAAACAGTCGGTCATTATAGAATAAAACATGGAACAAGAAAAACTACCTTTCACTCAACTTTGGCAAAACACAGAGTTTCATCTTCACACTTGCTGAACAAGTAGATGAAAATACAGTTGTATTACTTCTACACTCAGCCAAGATGTAACACTGTAAACCTTATTCAGACTATTTGGAATGAACTACTGGCTAATACCATGACGGGCATTTACCAGAACCTACTGCTTGGTACGTTCGGAGAGATGAATGTTCCGAGATTCTATTTCAGAATATTCATTTTATTAAACGTATGTATCTTTGCTTGATACAGTCTTCAGACTTATTTAGATGATAAGAAAACATGACATAAATAGATTTTACATGAAGGCACTGAGAACGCCTTGCCCAAGAACAAATAGACTTACACATATTACAATGGATGTATCTGAGTTTCTAATTAGGGTTTATATATTATTTATTTTAGCGATGAGGCAATACGTACTTCTGGAATGACTACGGCAAGAAATAGCCTTGAAATGGAAAACCACGTTTTTCAGAAAGCTAAAACGAAAGAAGAGTACCTTGGATTTGTTGCACGACTAATTTTGCATGTTCGAGAAATCAGTGAGTATAATAAAGAATGTAGAGCTGACATAATCAGTAATAAAAATACAAGTAGAAAACATTTTCAAGAAGCTTTCACTCATACATACTAAAAAAGAGAAAATAAATTTCAAATCAAACAAAAAATGAGGTAAATTTTCATTTTTCGCAAAAAATATTTATTTATTCAGCAATTTCTATTTTGTCCCCTTCAAAGTAGTCCTCAGATATAACACACTTGTGCCAGTGTTTTTTCCAATCCTCGAAGCAGTTCTGATATGCACTTTTTGGTATGTCCTTGAGCTCTCTCAGCAATTTTGGTTTTTATCTTCTCAATAAATCGCAAAACGCCGTCCTTTCATGAATCTCTTCAATCTTCGGAACAGAAAAAAAGTTGCAGGTGGCCAAATCTGGTGAATACGGTGGCTGAGGCATGATTACAGTGTCGTGTTTGGCCAAAAAATTACGAACAGGCAATGACGAGGGAGCAGATGCATTATCGTGATGCAAAAGCACCAATTGTTTTTTCACAATACCAGACGTTTTCTTCATATTGCTTCTCGCAAACGACACATAACTTCTAGATGATACTCCTTATTGACTTATGACCGTGTGGCAAGAAATCCTGATGCACTACGCCATGGTAACTGAAGGAAACAGAGAGCAAAACCTTGACACTTGATTGAACTTGGTATGCTTTTTTTAGTCTTAGCTCCCCTGAGTTCTTCCATTGGGACGATAGGATATTGATTTCCATGTCATAACCATATACCCATGATTCTTCACCAGTTTTGACCCTTTTGAGCAAATCTGGATTGCAGTTGACGTCATTCAACAATTCCTGAGCGATGATCATGCGACAGTGTTTTTGGACAAAATTCAAAACTTATCCCTGTAATAATAATACTGAATTCTGTTTGTATCAAACTCTAGTTTTTATTCATGAAGTGAAAACAGATTTTCTTCGTTTCTGTTCTGTTTCACTTTTAAAAAAATTTAATTTATATATGTACTAAATATGCCATATCTTTCAATTACCTCATATAATTGCCAATAAATTGATGGATGTAGCTTTTACTATGTGGTAGGAAATCATCATGAATTGGAACTTTCTATGTTTTTTACCTCTAACTAACGTTAGTTACAAATAAAAGTTGTGAAAAACATAGAAAGTTTCAATTCTCATTTTTCATCATAAAATTGTATTTTTACTGTGAATTTTTCTTGTACTAAATAAACGATTATTATTATAAACTAAAGATAATAATATCGAATTTCAGATTTTTAGCTGCCAAAAAGTTTTCTATCAATGACCCTGTATTGTTGATGGCATTTTTTGGTTTGGGTGTGTTGGTGTTTTGTTTAGCACTATGTTTTCCTTTATGTTTTGTTATTGTTTTTATCGCTCCAATGAAGTCATATTCTGTCCAACAGATAAAGTACTAGTTTCAGTGAATTTATGGAAATATGAGGATTATGATTGGTAGTGAGTTTAGCTTATAAAGGTAAGGTATGGTAAGGTAGACAAGAATTAGTATTTTTCTCGAATAGTTCACTTCAAAAGACAGGCATATCAGTTGAAAATTCCTATTCCAACATCAAGTCTCGTAAAGGACTCTATTATATATAATGGAATAAAAGTTTTCAATAAAGTTCATCAGCAATAGCAGAAGCCGAAACATTTTTGAAATTGAAAAAATCAAAGAAATAAACGTGGTCAAGTATTTGGGCATAATTATTGACAATTTAAACTGGAATAGGGATGTTGATTATCTGACAAAGTGGGGAAGCTTATATATAAATTCCACCAACTACAAAAGTTTCTTTTGAAAAACACTCATATTAATTTACAAATCTCTAGCTGAATCACTTTTTTGGTTTGGTATTCTGGTGTGGGGAGCAATGTATAAGAGTTCCTTGCAAAAACTGAACGTAATATAGAACTATATTCTGAAAATAATTTTGAAGAAAAAAAGATCATATCAACCTTATATATTCAGAAGATCTTAGTAATATTCGAACATTATATTTTATGTTTTTATATTTATATTTTATCTTTATTATTTAATTTGTTATTCAATTATGACTAACTATTATTTTTATTCTTAGTATGTATATAACATATATTACAATTATTGACTTACCATATGTACATTATGAAACGATAATGGTTAATAAAATTATTATTATTATACTTTCATAGTTTATATATGTATGCATTCAAAAACAAAACATTTCATAATTATGTTCCCACAGTTTATATTACTAGAAGTGCAACAAACAAATTGCTACCCACTCCAAAATTCAATAAAAATATTTATCATCGCTTTCTAATTTACACACTACCTAAAATTTGTTTTGTGCTTGTTTTCTTTTTCTTATATTCTCTATTTTGTATTTATATTGTTTATATGCCATTTGGAATTGTATATGATTCTGTAGGTTAACTAAAATAACTACAGTACCAGAAATAGGCAACAATTACGAACAACTGCTGTGAAGATTTCCGCTGGTCAGCAGAGTATTACACATCAAGGCGTCAAATTCTACAACTCAATTCCTGATTATCTGAAGACTCTTGGAGTGTTCTCTTTTAAAAAGAAATTAAGGACTTAATATTTAGTGGTTATTTCCAGACATAGCATTAGTATTAATAGTATTAACGATCCTATGAGATTGATGCTGTTATATAGATTTATGTTTATCAATAACAAAATGTTTGTCAACGAAATGTTTCTATGCTCTTCCGACAAAACATATATTCTGCTTTTTATAATTTCTAGAGACCAAACAGGGAGGTGGAATGACTGGGCCGGGGCCTGGTCAAGGAGGTCCTGGAATGCCGGATCCAATAAATGCTCTTCAAAATTTAGCAAGCCAGGGCACTCGTAATCCTTTGATGAATATGGGTCCTCAACCTGGTCAAATGGCAGGGCAACAGCAAGCGACAGCTACGAATCTCCTACAGACTCTTAATAGGGGTCCTGGACAACAAATGATGATGGGCAATATGCAAGGAAATATGACGGGTGGGATGTCGATGCAGGTGAGTAAACCTAATTTTCCTAGTTTATTTATTACGGTTATACAAAATTGGCATGTGGTGGAGTTTACAGTGTTGTCGTAACGTTGATGAAATACATGTAAATGATTTGGAATAGTAATGCGACCTGAGTTGCAACTGATTAATTTACTTTTGTTTATTATTATATTTTAATTAATGAAGGATTATATTGATGGTAATTGAAGGCCTCCAGTATTATTATAATCTGAGAAAGGAACAGAACTCAAAACATATAATGAGAGGTCTTTATTTCCCAAGAAAAAAAATTTATATGTAGTAAGTAGCTACACAGTGCATTTTTTAATACCCTCCTTTAGTTTTTGAACGGGTCAACTCAAAAAATTGAAATTTGGGATAATGAAATTAATGCATGAATACTTTATTTTGAAATGAAATTGACAGATGAAACTTTCAAGATGGCGACTGGGCGCCATTATTTTCGAGATTTTCAATCAGCTTATTACAAAGAATCTCTAGCTTGTTCACCTTTTCAATAACACTACCTTCTGCTTGAGATTCCTTAGATTTTTCCTGATTACTAATTTTGCAAAGAAGTTCTGTGAAATCAAAGTCTTGGGAATTTATCATTCCAGGATACTCCTTAAGAATTTCAGCCTCCAGCATTATTTTCATTTCAGGAACAGTTCCACCAGGATTGACATTGAAATATTGAAGTAGGTTAACTATCTGCTCTCGCGAAAGGTTTTGAAGTAACTTGACCATGGTTTTATCAAATGCGTAAGAACTATTCACTTCTTGGGGTCACCAATTGTAGTTTTTAAACTACTTTTAAAAAAAGTTTTTGATTGAAGTTTTTATTAATTCTTTATTATATTTTCTAAACAAAATCATCTAAACAAACACATCTCCTAGCAACACCTAGCATACTCCATTTGAAGGAAATTGTAGGGCACTACACGTCATTTTGTAGTAGGTGAAGATATTGACTTCATATTCTAGGGTTGTGAAGTATTTGTCAGGAGCTTCAAAATGATGTGTCACGGGACCCCCCTTTCCATTTAATTTTTTTTCCAGAAAGCGCCCCCATCTTGAAAGTTTCATCTGTTAATTCCATTTCAAAATAAAGTATTCATCCATTAATTTTATCATCCCAAATTTCAATTTTTTGAGTTGACCCGTTCAAAAAATAAAAGGGGGAGGGGGGACATTGAAGAAATGCACTGTATAAGAGTTCACGAAAAAAAGTTATTGAAAGTACGGGAAATGAGATGGTGTTGTGAAACCAAAGTTATGTGTAAGTTATTTCCAGGCTATTGTGCTGCTGATGGGTTAAAGAGAAAATGACGTTTGTCTTTTTTGTATGTAAGAAAAAAACACATAAAATATTCTTGGCTTGTTAAACATTCAATTTATTGTAGGCGATGTAGTCAATGAATGTCTTTTCAACTGTTTATCAATGATCTGTTCTTATTATACGAGTACAAAGCTCTAATCTCCTCGATACCAGGTAATAATACTCAATACTCCAATGCGAAAATGATGATTTATATCAAATTCATTTGCAATTCAAGAAACACATTATTGTGAGATTTTCACCTAAACACTTTTACAAAAGCACAACATGTTTTTCTTTATACAATAGCATCTTCAGGAGTGTCTTTACTGTTTCATCAAACAAATTGCGGTCAACAACGGTTACAAGGTAGTTATTATCGACTCCATTCTTTCCAAAAAAAACTACAAAAACAAGCAATAGACTAGGTCTAAATTCAAGAAACTATATCGTCCTCCGCTATAGGACATTGTCATATTTTGGTGAACCCACCAATAATATCGCTTGTGTTTTTACACGCTTTATATTAGCTTCACCAGTATGTATGTATGTTTGTTTGTTTGCAAATCTTCTTTTCTGTTTGAATGCTCGGGATCTGTATTTGACAGAATTATCGACGTTATTGCTTCATCTATTCTCGGGCAGATGGCGCTGTACGTAACCTCCTTGATATAATTCGAACTCAGTTTACATGTTTTTCTTCATTTGAAAAAAATATAATTTTTTATTAATACGTCATTTTTCTAAACAATATACGGCTGATTGATCCCAAAGTTTAGATAAAATAAATATAGTTTAAAAAGACTATAGCATACGAAACTGAAAAATGAAATTATCTAAGAACAATTCGTTCTCCCTACAGTGTAAAGAGTTGAGACTGGCCTGAACGAATTGTTCTTAGATAATATGATTTATAGCCAGTCTTCAAGTATACCCACTGACTATATTCGAAAAATGAAAAATAAATATAGTTTAATAAACTAAAAAACACGCTGAAAAGTTAATTTTTTAGTTCGATGTTCTTTAAAAGCTTGTTTATTAGTTTTTTAAACTACATTTATTTAAAAAAAAGAAATGCTTTGACGTAGCTTGCAGAACAAATAATAGTTTAGGCAACTTTATTAAATACAATAAAGACAAAACTTCAGTGTCAGATAGATCAGGAGTAAATAAGTTGACTTGTGGCTCTTGCTCAAAACTTTGTATTGGCCAAACGGGGAAAACTATTTCCCAAAGAATTGAAAAACATAGAAGTAGTATCTTGAATGGAAAGGCCTAATTTTCAGCTAATATACTTTTTATTTTTGTGTATTTTAATGTGGATTTATTGCTAACGTTAACTTGATAGGACTTGTCACTTCAGATAGATAATTTTAGATGGGACTGCTGGGACACACGTTTTGTTGTAAACCATAGTTTGCTTAATTGAAAAACGTCTAGCCAGATAAAGTTCAGAAATGATTTTTCGAAAGTCTTCCTCAACAGATTGTACCTTGATTTATGTCTCAGATTTGGGAGATGATATTCATAAAGCAACCAATGAATTCTGTGTATTTGATGGTTTTTGTACGTGTGTTGGGGACAATAATATTAGGTTGTCGACTCATTTTTATGAGTCTACTTGAAACTGTAATATATCAGTGAATACTGAATACAATTTGATCTAACTAAGCGTCATTTGAATCAGTGGACTTTTGCCAATTACGTCAGCATAAAAATTGTGTGCTCGGTTTTTGATGAAATCGACGAAGACCGTTTTTGCCTGGTCCTGATTGGCGAAGGTTCTACCGGTGAGAAAATTATCGAAGTGCTTGAAAAGATGGTAGTCGGTTGGCGAGAGGTCTGGGGAGTATGGTGGCTGAGGCAGAACTTCGACGCTCAATTCGTTTAATTTTCGGACGATGATTTGTGAAACGTGCGGACGGGTGTTGTTGTGAAGCAGGATCGGACCCCTTCTGTTGACCAGGGCTTCTTGACAATTCCAATTTCCAATACATTTTAAACTATCAAAAACCGCATGGGAGCTGACACCCAGTTCTTCCGCCACCCCTTGCACCGTTTGTGATGGGTCAGACTCCACCAGGGTCTCCAAATCCTCGTCCTGGGTTACTGTAGGTCGACCACTTCGGGGCTCATATTCAAGGCTTAAATCTCCTGAACGCGTTTGTGGTGCAGCCTAGCACCACTGATGAGACCTGTGGTGGATCAAAAAAATGATGTCTGGTGTTGTATCAGAAATGCGTTGTGTTCGGGCTATAGTTTCTAATATTTCAATAATATTTTTTATAACGATTTTATTATAACCAACTTAGAAACACTCTACACGTGAGTTTAGATTGGTTTTGTTTTTTGTGGCGGTTGACTACTCGGTGTTTTGGTAGCAGTTCCTGGACTGATTTAATTTCAGAGTGAGGAGCAAGTGTTAAAAGTTTTTTACAACTTCTTATTGATCTGTTTGAGAATGATAAATGAGAAAAGAGTCTGGCCAAATATGGAGAATATGGAAGTACTGAGAAGACAATAGTTTACAATGGTTTTACACAGAAGAACCTTTGAAAAAATGAAAAATTTCGGCAGTCACCAACAAGGGTAGGTATTGGGGCACTAGAGAGTAGTTCATCAACAACAATTAGTATTTATGAAAAAGAAAAGCGATTTTTATTTTAGATTGCTGTTTTGTATGGCTTTATTGACCTAAAAATTAAAAACTATGTAAAGAAAGGGTGATGGTTGATGATTTTTTGGAAACTTTTCAAATATATGTGTACGAGGGTGGTTCTGAAAAGTTTTCAACCTCAACATGTAGATGGCAGCACTCGTAAATAAAAGCATTTAATTGTTCAGTCTGTTGACAGTTACTCACCAAAGTTTCAGCAACTTTGGACGCGCAGTTGTTATGTAACAGTCGTTTTAGTGAGTTGATTTGTTTTTATGAAAATGGGCAATATCGAGTGTCGAGCTCTTATCGAATATTTGTTTCTAAAGGCAATACGCCTAAGCAAATCAAAGATGAGTTGGACTGTGTCTATGGGGACTCTGCAACATCATTTATCACAATGAAATTTTGGGCAGCTGAATTTAAACATGGCCGTAAGAACTTGGGACACGATGAACGTTCGGGACGTCTAAAAACTGCAACTACCGACGACAACATCCCCAAAGTTCACCAAATGGTGCTAGACGACCGCCAAATTAAAGTGAGAGAGGTAGCAGAGGTTTGTCAGATATCGAATCAACATTTAGGCATGGGAAAGCTGTCCGCGCGTCGGGTGCCGCGTTTGCTCACGTTAAACCAAAAACATGTTCGAATAAACATTTCCAACGCTCTGTTGGCGCAGTTTAGGCGCAATAAAGGCGCAAGTTTTGGCGCCTATTAATTACTGTTGATGAAACTTGGATACACCATGCAAAGGAAGAACCGGCTCCAAAAAAAGCAAAAACTGTTTTATCGACTGGGAAAGTGATGGCTGTCGCCATCACTTTCTGCTGAGGGCAGAACTTGCTGAAAAACGGCCACATTTGCAGAAAAAGAAAATCCTCTTTCACCAAGTGTCACACCTCAGCGATTGCCATGGCGAAAATTCACGAATTACGGTTTGAACTACTTGACCATCCGCCTTACTCACCAGATCTAACCCCCGTGACTTATTTTTGTTCCCTCGGAGATTTTGGTCAAAAGAAGGGGCAATCACCTCCGTGAATATTTATTTTGAAGAGAAAAACACCGAGTACTATTTGGACGGGTTACAGACATGAGAGCATTGCTGGGAGAGTTGAAAGGAGACTAGGTTGAAAAAAATGTCTTGTAACTTTGTGAGGTCGGAAACTTTTCAGATCACCCCTCGTATATGTATTTCAGCCATTTTTTGTTCTTTTAGATACACATTTTTCAATAGATTTTGATAACTTCTTCTATTTGTAACTTTGATAAGTAATAATGATTTTTCATTGATATTCTTCTTTACTTTCAGACATGCCAAGATCTTGAACAGGATGTCGAGGATAGGAACGAGACGAGTGAATCTTCATCGGATATGTCAAATGAGGACGACGACGACGACGATGACGATGATTCAATTGACGAAAAATCTATTAATGAAAATGAAGATATCAAAGAGTCAGATATTATTGTGAGTCTAGAGATTAAAAGTTGAACATCAGAAATCATAGTGATTCTTTTTTTTGTCAGGATCATAATGAGTCATCTGATACGTTTCCCAAAAATGAATTGGATACACCTCAAGAAGACATGCCAGGCACATCTTCAAGTTATGTGTCCGGAGTAGCACAAGGAAATAATGAAGAAACACCACCCAGAAAAAAGAGGAAAAGGAGAATAGTTGCTGTTCAAATGGTCTCTGAAACCATCAGAAATAAAGCGAGGATGGCTCGAATATTACAAATGAAAAATAGCATGAAACAGACTTACTACAAGGAAAAATTGAAATTGATGCAGAGAGATGTTGAGGCCAAGGAAAGAATAGCTGCTGCCTTGGAAAATATGACATTCCATTCATAATTCTTTCGTTTATATTCATAAAAGTGCTGTGTTGTTACGTCCATGCAAGTTCCCAATAGTAATGACAATAATAATATGATTTCAATGAGCAAATTACAATGTAAATAGTAATTCTTCACAGGGCGAAGTTTACCCTGAAGCCACTCTTTATTCTCAACTCTTTTTATGTTTTACTTTTTCATGAAATCATTCAAAATCAGAACTGAAAGCTACTTTAAATTTCTCTTTAAAATCATCTCACTATTTCAATTGATTATTTTTTCACTTTCTTGATTTGCTCTCTGAAATATATAACACATTTGAACTTTCCAGTATATTCTTCGAATTCCAGTATATTTGCTTTTGCGTTCTAAAGCTATTTTAATTTGTTCTAGAGACTGGGTATAAGATATTTTGTTGGACCGCTGTACCAGTGGCATACAGCAACGACCGTGACGTAACAATATTTCCATTAATAATTCATTAGAGTATATTGTAAATATGTCCATATTTGTTTCGTTTATTTCTAGTTTGTTCGTGTATATTTTATGAAATAAATGCATTTATGAGATTTTAGTTTTAATTTCGATCATAATGTTAATGGTGAAGTTACAGAAGACATGTTGAATAAAAGTCAAACAATTTCCTAGCTAATGTTTTATTTCAATAAATTAATGGATGTAGCCTTTAACTACGTGGTAGGTACTAGGAAGTTTCATTTTTCATAATATTTTATTTTTTTAAGAATCTGAAAATAAACTAAAAATGCTACGGCGAACAGTACGTAAGTTAGAAAAAAAATTGAGCTGAGTGAAAAATTAGTTTTAGCCTATGCTGTAATTTGTAGTTGGTGCTTGTGAAATACTTGGGAAAGTATAACTACCCAAGGGGGGTTATTTGCTGAAAGTTCTTGTACTGCTTTCATATCTGTATCTGCTGGGTAGGGAGGGTGAGTGTAGGTCCACAGCACTTATGCCACATGTGAACCATTGTACATGTTAGGGTTGATTAAACACAAACTTGGGTTCAATTGCATCACTAGTTGCCTGCAGCAGAGGTTGCGCAGTGAGTGTTTCTCGCCATAGGCTCAGCCTCAATTGACCCATTCCTACTTTGAGGTTTACACCAGCCTTGGGCAATCGTAACATGGCCATTAACGCAACCTCCTTAAAATACTGGTTCAGAGGGGACAGACCAGTAATTAATTCCATTGCCTTGATTGGTGTTGTTCTCATGGCTCCTGTGATGTTTAAACAAGCCAATCGTTGTATTTGATATAATTTTTGGACGGCCGTTGCTTGTAGAACTTTCGGGAGGGATCAATCCCTCTTGATCCTCCCTAGCTACGGCCTTAGGCTCACAGTACTTCAGCCACATGTGACCCGTTGTACATCCTCCCGAGGAGTTGTCCTCCTAGGTCATTGCCCATCCTGTCCTTTCCAGGAAGGTGGACAGGTCACTATGAGACATCTCCTTTTCATCGGCAGGCGTAGGCCAAGACTCTCAATGGCTAGTCAGAAATTCTACTGTTGAGCGTAGGTTTCCTGGTCACCGCCAGGTATTTCTTCGGTGCCAGCTTCCAAGGGTCGCCCAGGGTGATCCTGGCAAAACTGAATCCTTTGATTCCATCCCATCTATTTAGGGATTGAGCATGGGCTTTCATACATTTAGATACTAATTACAATTGAGAACTTTCACAACCAAACACTGTGCAAAACGAATAGTGGAAGGAAATAGAAAAAGTTTCAGAAAACTGTCAAAAATGGTCAATTATTTACTCACGCAGTTCAAGTTGGGAGGAGAAGGAGGAGGAAGTACAAATAAGGAGGAGGAAGCTAAGGTGTTTATGACATGACAAAATAAATTACCCATTTTATATTGAAATTATTCCTATGTTTCTGAATTTTTATTGCCTCTATTTATTCTAGGATAGTAATTTTGAGTTTTATCGAGTATTACTGTACACGCACAGGGTGCCCTTTGTGAGTTTCCTGAATTTGTTCAGATTGTTCAAATTGTTCTTGACTGATCCTTGTACTGAAAATTGAATAAATTCATATTATATATTATCTCCGAATGAGATAATGTGGTGCTTTCTTTGTTGAGAACATGTTTGGCTACAGCTGATTTGTCGGTTTGTCCAAGTCGACAATTTCTCTTGTGTTCAGAGAGACGGGTCCCTACACTTCTTTTCGTGGTTTAAATGTAGACTGACCCGCAGCTACAAGGAATCCAGTATACCCCAAATGTTGCTAAAGGTTCTTTGGGGTCCTTAGCTGACCTTAGATTCTGACTGATAGTTTTTGGTGCCTTTAATATTGGTTTCACGTCGTGTTTCTCCGGATTCTCCCAATCCGGTCTGTAACTTTTTTAACATAGGAAAGGAAAGCTTTTTCCTTGACCAGCCTAGCTGATGAGCTTGAATTCTATTTTGCTGAACCCATTTCCTTTGAAGACCTTTTTCAGGTGACCGAGTTTCTTAGGAAGACTCTCAGGTTCACAAATATATCGTGCTCTCTCATTCAACGTTTCAATTACCCCTCTCTTTTGTTGTGGATGGTGGTTACAGTTTTTGTTCAGGCACTATTCACTCTGTGGCTCAATGTACCATCTTCACGTCTGTTCACAAAAACATCCAAGAAGGCTGCTAGGATTTCTCGTTCCATTGTTAATTGGATTTTTGGGTTGAGAAAGTTTAGGTATGATAGAAAATTGTTTAGTGTTTCTTCACTATCTTGCCATACCACAAACGTGTCATCAACATAACGCAGCCAATAATATGAATGAATTTATTAATCCCAAGAAGCATTACATGTTTATAGTAGGGACAACTTAATATACAAATTGAAAAAAAAACATACTGTTACGTTTTTCCCCGTGGGTGGACCAATAATTGACTACAATGAATAATCAAACTTAACTTCATTTCACTTTAAATACAACAAACACTTCAACTATTATTTGAATGTCTATCGCCTTCCTAGATTGCTTCGCGTACGGCACTGTAGCTTCCACTTGATAGTGTGACTGTCTCGATATGCCCGCCGCCGGCGCTTAAATATCGTAATCGAACATCGTAGTATTTTCGCCGAAGTTCCATCGAGATCGGTAGCATGACTCTCGCTGCTTCTCGAGCGGCAGGGAACATTGGGCATTCCCGCGCTCTTAGCTACGTCACGTTTGGTTTATGGTTACCAGTGGCGGCCGGCATTACTTTCTTTCGGGCATGATCTACAACAATACTAAGAATAATACAATATTTTTCAAGTTGAGTTTTGAATTTTGTATAATTCAATTTTTTATATTGTTAGGTATTTTATTATATTAATTAACTCCATCATGAAAAATCCATTTTTTACCAAATTGTACGCAAACAAAGTCAGATAATCCAATTAAGAGAAACCAAGCCACGTCCACTGATAATAATATAAAACCAGCGTTGAATACCAGCATCTTAGTCACCGCATTTAGAACGGGAACAACAACTCGGACACTGAGACGATTACCACATTGCCTTTGATAATGTCTACTGCAGTTGTAGACGAAACGTCAGCCATCAAAATCTGCAGACCACGGATTAAAAAAAAAACGGAAAAAAGCTTTCACGCAGTTATTATTATTATTATTCATTTTAAAACTATTTTAGGGAGAAAATGAAAAATGTCGATAATCAATAACATTTCGTTGCAAAAATTTTTAATTTTTTTTTGCAGGATAGGCAAAATATTGGAATACCTCCAAATGGAGGACAAATGGGAGGAAATCAGATGAGTAACCAGATGGCAAATCAGATCAGGCTTCAGCAAATGCAAAGCAGCGGCATGAATCAAATGCCAAGCCATCTTGGCGGTCAATTACAAAGTCAGATACAAAATCAAATGGGCAATCAGATGGGAAGTCAAATGGGAAACCAGATGCCAGGGCAGCTCTCTGGGCAGATGCAAATGGGAAATACCATGCCAAGTCAAATTCAAAATCAAATGATGGGTAAGTTTGCGTCATTGCAGTTGACTGCTTCTATGCTTATAGCAATTGAAAAGTGTAACTTCTAATTCTCCCAAGATCATGCTGAGGAGAGTCTATGTGCCTTTGCCAATGAGCTCATAAACACGCTAACAGCCATTACATGTGTTACTACAAAAACTATTACTTGAAAAGTGGCAGCAGTTGTATGGACCACGCTCAATTAACTAACAGTCTATGTGCTACTCAGCAATGGCGGATGAATGTATTGTTCCAAATCATTCCCTGAAAAAAATAACGCCGACCGCCGCTGGTTGGCCAACTCAGACGACACATGACACAAAACACGTACAACACAAGACATAGACGACACATACAACACAAGATACAGACGACACACCCATGTCACAAGACACAGACGATACAAGACACACACGTACAATACATGACACAGACGACACACATACAAGACATGACACAGACGACACACGTCACAAGGCACAGATGACACACACGTACAAGACACGGCACAGACGACACAAGCCACGGACGACACAAAACACAAACGATACAAGACACGGACGACACACACGACACAAAAAACAGACGACACAAGATAAAAAAAGACACATACGCACAAGATACACGGCACAGACGACACACACACGGCACAGACGACACACACGACACAAAAGACGGACGATGCAAGATATAGACGACACGGCACAGACGACACAAGACAGACGACGTACACGACACAAGACTCAGACGACACACACGCCGCTTCTTTGCCAAGATCGCGCTCAACTCTATTTGGGCTTCTCGATCGTTCTAAATGTCGCGTCGCTTCAAGATAGTTCTCTATCGGCATCCGGAGACTTTCATTGCGATATATAAACACCACCAACAGGCAAATGATGAAGTCTAGTTGAAAGTGCAATACGAAGTAAACTAATAAAGCGATGGACATTCAAGTATTAGTCTATAGTTTTGAAGCTTTTGGGTTATATTGGTAGTATAGTAGTGAAATAAAGTTGAGTTTAATTGTAAAGTATACTCAATGATTGTCGAACCCACGGGGAAATCGTAACACCACAAAACTTGGTAATTCCCAGCACAAAATAGAACCCTGAATGAAAAAATCTTTCAGCAATGTCCTAAATACACGAAAGCAAATAAATGACTTGCCGGCATTACCATTGCTGATTATATGTTATATGTTATGAGTTTTTATGTCTTTTGAACAAAAACTGCATTCTGAAATTGAATTGCAGTGCCACAAAATCAATAAGAAATATATTTTCACTCAGATCTCCGAATACAAAATGGAGTATTGCAATCTGAACTAATTTATTTCATTTTCTCAACCTTAAAAATCATTACAGAGAAGGGATGATTGCCATTGAACTCACTTAAGATTAAAATATATGATATTATATTTTAAATCCCTTTATTTTTATATTCAAGTTTCATTATTAGTTGTGACCCATAATCAATAAAATTCCACTTAGTACATGTAAGTAATAATTTTTTGATTGAAAAACATCATCCTTAAATTCGTATTCCACAAATAAAAGTGAAATATTATTCCAAATTGCAGGTGGTATGTCTCAGATGGGGCAGCAAAAACCTCAATCGATGATAATTAACCAGATCAATCCTAATTTTCCACGCCAACCTACACCGAATCAGATGTTCAACCAAAGTACATCTCCGTCTGTCCAATCACCAGCTGGTTTGGGAAGTCAGCCTCCGGTTGCATCGCCTGTTCTGGCACCTTCTCCGGGAGCTCCAATGAGCATGATGGGAGGCCCTCCAAGGTCTGTCGGTATGGCGCCTAGCCCTGGGAGTTCTTTGAATACACCCGGACAGCCCAATCCGAGTCCGTTAGGGGGTGGATCTTCGATGATAGACGATCAGGCTTACAGAGATAAGGTCAGGCAATTGAGCAAATATATCGAGCCGCTGAGGAAAATGATAGCAAGAATGGGAAATGAAGGTAAATTTAATATTTAAAAGTTGTTTGTTCTCGCGCAAGCAAGACAAATTAAAAGTTAGTTTATTGAAGAGAAATTCACATCTACATACATTAAATTAGTTATTGATTTGATTTTTTGAGCCAGTAGTCGCTGGGAGCCAAATCTGGCGAATACGGTGGATGTGGGAGCAATTCGAAGTACAATTAATGTAGTTTTGTCATTATTTTGATTGACTTATGACACGGTGCATTGTCTTGATGAAACAAATTTTTTTCTTTGCTGTATGCGGTTGTTTTCTTGCAATTTCGGCCCTCAAACGCTCCAATAACGTTATATAATATTCACTGCTGATGGTAGTTATCTTCTCAAGATGGTCGATGAACGTTACACCACACACATCCCTGAATACTGAGGCCATAACCTTTCCAGCCGATTGTCGAGCTTTCGGGCGCTTTGGACGAGGTTCACCAGTTGCTCTCCATCCCTTATTTATTGTATATACTCATCATTTCCTTTGATGTTTGATTTCATTACGGTCGGTCGGTAGCCAGGCGGTTCGACGTGGGTGCTCTGTTCACTCACTCGAATTGACTGCCGTGTTGGTCGGTGGTTCAAGCCCTAGTCTGAACGATCGATTTTCACTTGCTATCGTCCAACCCGTGTTATTCTTTATATATTTAGAGGTAGTCCTTGTAATTTCATGTACAAAATGTAAAATTTTTTTTCTTTTTGTTTTTCCGGCATGTTACTTTATTCATTTAATTGGCACATTGTAGTTGTGTTGTTCAATGTTATTTGGCTTAGTGGTGTAAATCTTGTTGCTTTTGTATATGTAATTATGTCCGCTTATTTTAAGTGTGAATTTATGTGTATTTATGATCTCCTTGCTAACTGTATATTTGTCTTGATTTCTGAGGGTTGTCATTCGTAGGGGTGCGACAGCTGGTTAACGGAAAAACATATATTTTTTTTTATTTTAGTTTTCTTACAGATTGAGAATTCATTGATTTCAGATGGAGAAAACTTGAGCAAAATGAAGAAACTTCTAGAGATATTATCGAATCCTCATCAGCAGAGAACGCCTTTGGACATTTTGAAAAAATGTGAAATAGTATTGGAAAAGATAGATTTTCGAAGAGGAGACGGAACCGGACCCGCTTCCACACCCCAGACGCAATCCAAGGAACCTCATGTTTTCCACGCTTTATTAGATGCGATCAACAGCAATCTTCACAGCCCTGTCATAAATCATACTTTGCATCGCACTTTTGGACCTACTCTTGATGCACTCTTTGGACCAGAAATAAAGTACGTATGGAACTTGAGAACTGATAATCTTAAAAAAAGGGTTTATTGTCTAACAGGAGTAATACAAGACAAATATAATGAAGTTTACAGTTATGAATAAGTATAAGTAAATAGAATACAACGACAGCATATACAATTAGTAGACTAATAGAATAGTATATTATACAAACACTGATACAGATGTTCTACAGATGTTAATCTTCATAAAGCAATGATTTATACGAAGGCACTGAAGTGTCACAGCCATAAAAATAAACTTATTCCACAGCTGAAACTACTCTTTCTTCTCCAACATGAATTTGATCATTTGTTCTCTAGTACGCAAGTAATATAAACATCCGGTTAATGGCCGTAGATGTAGGTGGGACGGTAGGTGGTCGGTTCGATGTGGGTACTTTGCTCCACCCGCTCAATCGACCGCTGTGCGAATCGGTGGTTCAAGCTTTCAAAAATTAATCATCCACAGTGCTCTATACAATTTGCTGATGACACATCTTTTAGTGTCGGTGGTTCGGAATGTGAAACATTGTCAGTAAGAGCAAATGATGCTGTATCCAACATGCAAAATTATTGTTCTAATTTTGATTTTGATTTTGAAGCCGCAGGCTGGACAATCGATTTTCAGTTGCTATCGTCCAACCCGTGTTAGCAATCATAAGTTAAAAGGTAAGAACTCGTTAGTCCTTAGCTCGCACAAGTTTCTACTCTTGCGAATTGTCATTCGTAGGGGAGTGACAGCTGGTTAACAGAAAAACAGATTTTGAACAGATTTTTTTTATCAAAATTGAAGGAGTATAATTTATCTCTTGTTCCAGACCAACTTTAAGTGCAGTGAAATGCAAACAAGTAAAATTCCATACATTCATATTACCGGCTCAATTTGCATCAAGTGTTACAAATCTCATTACAATTATTACACCTTGTGCTGATTGGTGATTTTGTGAGAACATTTGTTCTCAGAAACTTGAATTGTTCTCATTAGCGATTTGCGGTACCTTGAAATTCTGCTGGGTTAGTAAATCAGGATAATCAATAAGATTATAACTCAGTTTCTATGTTCCATATAATTACGAACAATTTGTACTGAAAAATATGCTGTGAAAATGAAATCGTCAAAATCTATTCCAGTTTCTAAAAATGAAGGAACAGTATTGCAATGTTTGTATGCAAAGCCAATTGGCAAGGATCGTTGATGACTGTTTCAATTCATGGCTCAGTACCTTTCTAGAAATTATAAATTCCCTTACTGATAGTCAAAATGACTCTGACCTAAGCAGGGCTTTTGACACGGAAAACCATAGAAGAGCGTGGGATTCGATGAAGACGACGAAGGCCGTTTTCGCACGGTCCTGATTGGCGAAGATTCTATGGGTGAGAGTTATTGATGGAAGTCTGTTGGCGAGAGGTCTGGGGAGTATGGTGGGTGAGGCAGAACTTCGACGCTCAATTGGTTTAATTTTGTGAAACGTGCTGACGGGCGTTGTCGTGGAGCAGGATCGGACCTCTTCTGTTGACTAGTGCCGGCTGCTGCTGATGCAATTTTCGGCGCATTTCATCGATATTCTCACAATATAGGACTCTGCTGTAATGGTTTGGCCAGAGGTTGCAGAAAGTTGAAGTAAATAATGCCAGCCGCTGACTACCATACAGTAACTATGGTGCTTAGGTCCTGAACGTTTCTTGTTGTCATAGAGGATCCACTTGTCTTGCAGAAAAGGGCTATCAGGTACTTATGTGAAGCGAAATGGCGGGATTTATGTAAACCCCTTTTTCGAGAAAATAGAATCCTTACGGTTATTTCTATATTTATATTGGAAACCGTGTCAATTATACACAAAAATAGAGAGAACTATGAATCTACAGCTACAGCCACATACCACACAAGGCGGTCAAATGAACTGAATTTACCAATTCCAAAAACATGTTTGGTTCAAAACTAGTTGATATATAATGGAATTAGGATATACAATAAACTTCCCAATGAAATCAAAGAGACTCCTTTTATCATATTCAGAAAGAAATGTACAAAACTATTAGGTGATAAAGCCTATTATGACCTACAAGAATATTTTGACGATGCCCTGTAACTTAGAATGTGTGGAAAATGCGATTGTACTGTGTGTGAAAAACATATTTTCATTCGTTGTCCTAGTTCTTGTCATGTAACCTTTACATATGTATGTATATATAGTTTATATTTTATTTTAATCATTTACATTTTATACTTCACATCTTATATTTCATGTTTATATTGATATTTATTTATGACATTGTGTTTGTAACAAAAATGTTATTCTTATACAATAAACATATTATCAATCAATCATCACACATGACGATCCGATTCAAAAAGAATCGTTTTGATTGCGTAAAAGCAAAGAAAAACAGACATTGAAAGGTGACAATTTCTGTTGATTGTTCAAATTGTGGGGCACCGACTTTGGAAGCTCTTTGACCTTCCCAATACGTTTTAAACCATCAAAAATCGCATGGGAGCTGACGCCCAGTTTTTTCACCATCCCACGCTCCATTTGTAATGGGTCAGTCTCCACCAGGGTCCTTGGGAGCTGTCCGACTTATCCATTTAGTCCAAGTCTCCAGAAAAGACTGCAGCTTCTTGGGCTTATTGCGTTTATTCTCCCATCTTCTCATGACAACCATTCCATCAGTCTCGTTCCCTGTACTAGTTTGTACAGGTTCTGTGTTGGATGTTCGTCATATTCTTCTGGATGTAATTTCGTACGTCCATATATTGCCTGGCTTGTGTGATTCAGTGCATAATCTGAAGCTGAGGTCTCCGTTGTACAGCCCCATTTTATTCAAGTGTCTTCTAAGCGAATAATGACCGGTTAGTAACCCTGTAATTATTCTGAGCTGATCCCTACTATATTGAAGTAGTTCTTCGGTTCTTTTGTCGGATGGTTACCTAATGAAGGTTCCACTGTGTTTGTTGCCAGGTACTTTTGTCCAGTACTCTGTTTGCTTTTTATTGGTCCATGTCCTAATCTGGTTTCGTATCAATGATTTTGGTACCCCCAGAGCTGGTTCAGGACCTATATATGAAGTTGATGATCCGTGTCTAGTGCATTCATCAATTTTATCATTATCTGTGATTCCTGAATTCCCCTGACACCCAGTACAAAGTTAATTTGTTCCTGTTTGCAAGTTCAGTCAGTTGTTCATGGCATTCCCAGACCAGTTTTGATGTCACCTTCAGGTTTGTCAGGTTTGCACCTTGCCTAGTTTGTTGATGGCGGTCGCCTGCTTCATCTTTGGCCACCAGACCAGAGATGCGTATGTTATCATGGGTTTAACCACCATCGTGTATAGCCAATATCCCATGTCTGGTTTTAGCCCCCATGTTTCTTTCCTCTTTATCCTGTCCAAGGTTCCAGGTCAGTTTGGAATCTAGAATTACTCCCAGATATTTAACCTCCCCGACACTTGTATTTCTTCACCTCGAAGTTTTAGAGGTCCGAGACCCTCCTTTTTAGTCCTCTTGGTGAATGCTACTATGGTCGATTTGGATGGGTTTATGTTAAGCCCTTCTTCTTCGGTCCATTATGTTATAATATTCAGGGCTTGCTGCATGCATCTCTTCACTACATTATTATATTTACCCTGGACTAAGATAACTAAGTCGTCTGTATAGCCCAGTGCTTTATACCTATTGTGGTCCAAGAGACATAATAGCTCGTCCATTACAAGGCTCCATAACAGAGGGGATAGAACCCCGCCTGAGGACAGCCCCTTACTACCCGTGCCACGACTGTTTCCCCCATGATGGTTGTATATACCAATCTTCCCCTAAGCATGCAGTCTATCCACCTACAGCTTGTCTTGTCGATCCCTCTTCTCCTCGACGCCTGGATGAATGATTCTAACGACGTATTGTGAAATGCGCCCTCAATGTCCAAGAAAGCAGCTAAAAGTACTTCTTTGTTTTTGTAAGTATGTTCTACTTTTTCTACCCGACATAGAGAAGTTTCTGTTGACATACCTGACCTGTGTGGACCTGGATTACTGTAGGTCGACCACTTCGGGGCTCATCTTCGAGGCCATAATCTACGGAACGAAATTTCGCAAACCAACGTCGAACAGTGCGTAATTATTGTTAAATACCTGGTTAATTTTTCGGGCTGTTTCGGCATCATATATAATGAGCTAAAGAGAAGCAAAAATGAAAACAACACTCATGACATTGAAGCAAACAAAACTTTTGCAACAACCTAATATTTGTGCTTGTGATGCACTGTTTGGAACCTTTGATGTAGTAATGAATATTCCTGGAGTTTAATCTTTATCTTGAAGATGATCACTTGGTTATTGAAACACGTGTTGAGGTGTTGAAAATAACGTAAAAAACTCCAGTAATATTCTAATATTCGTGCCTCAAGTTCTGTAAACACGTAATGTTTTATTATGAAAACTGACCAATCAGTTGTGGCTTTAATTACCAAGTCTATTTTAATTTCAGGTTGGTACCACCACTGAAGAAAATCAAAGTTGAGGAACCCACAGGTGATATTCCAGACGTCCTTCAAGGGGAAATCGCTCGCCTGGACCCCAAATTCAAGGTTTCACTGGATCCAAATCAACAACCGGGCTCGAAATCTATCCAACTGATTTGTTGGTTAGACGACAAACATCTCCCGTGCGTCCCGCCTATTTCGTTGGTTGTACCGGAGGATTATCCAAAAATGTCACCTACTTGTAGTGTAGCTCCGAACGAATACAACGCTACCGAATTTTTATCGAAAGTTCAAATCAACCTATTTTCGAGAATTAAGAAACTTCCCCAGTATTTTTCTGTGTCGCATGTTCTTGATACTTGGGAAATGAGTGTTCGGCAAGCAGCTGCTGGTTCGACTAAGCAAATGGACACTCTGGCTGTGATGTTGGGACTATGATTTGTGGAAATAACTGCTCAACTACGAAAAGTATGGCACAATTTGGGTCGATTTTGTCGATTTTACTGGAATTTCAATATCTTCGTGACATGTTAGTCGTTACTCATGATATCAACTACTGTTTCATCTGTATAATATTTCTCTGTCACTTCATGAACGAACATCATTCAAGTACTTTTATTTAAATGTAGAAGTATTGTTTTTTTTTTCAAATAAGCCTATCTACAAAATTTTAGGTTAGCGGCCTAAAAACATCTTTAGATTGTGCCGTTCTTTATTTTTAATTTTTTTTATCATGTTATGACAATGTAGAATGATGAAAATATTTTTAAAATGTATTTTACCCACCATCTGTCATTGTTATTTATATTTTTTTCTGTTAGATATTTTTCAATTATATGAAGTTTTGAACCTTGTTCTCAGGAATTATTCAAAATATGTGCTGTACGTTTCCACTTTTCCAGGAATACATTTTATTGAATGATGAATGTTTTTCATTTCAAGGTGCATACATGTTTCATATTTGTCTAAGGAATTGACGTAGTGGTAGTGCACCTGACTCGGTATGCAAACATCGTTAGTTCGAATCCGTCTCGACTTGATTTTTTTCGCAAGAATTCATCTAATATTTAAAAAAAAACGCAACATGTGTTTCGCTATACAATAGCATTCTCAGGCGTCACAATACTGACTGAACAAATTCTGTGTCATGGTTTTATAGTAATTTGAATCATTATGACTTTTACTACTGGACAAATTTCAACATGATAAATTCATTACCTAACTATTCACCTATCTAGGAACAACTCATAAGACAGGAGAATGATGAATAACAATTTTTATGTAAGCTATAATTTCACCTACCTTTGTGATTTGCCCTAATTACCGATTTCCTCGTTGCAAACTAAAACAAATTAAGGGAAACAATTCAAATCTGTTTGGTCATTGAGCAATAATCCCGAATTCCTACATCTATTGATTTGCAAACATTCCAAAAGATGGAGTTCAGAACCTTTCTCTTTCAAATGCAATACGTCACAATCTCCCCCCCCCCCCTCTGTCGAAAGATGATTGGCAAATGTTGAATCGGTTTTTCCCTTCAATAAATTACTTCTGTGCTCTTTTATTCTTTTGGAACAGTTCTTCCGGTTTGTCCGAAATTAAATTTTGGACAAGAACCACAAGTTAACTACTATACTCACGATCTAGCCGACACTGGAGTTCTATCTTTATTGCTTTTGAAGAATTTACTCAAGTTATTACTTGTTATGTCCAGTTCTTTGCTTTTTAAAAACCGTGCGATATTATTAGTAGGATCACCAAAGTTAGTTACGAGTCACATAATGTTTAGTTTCATTATTTGAAACTGGATACAACTGGTTCAGAGCTTTTTTCTGCAATTTTCAGAGATATTTAAATCAATAATATCCACCTCGAAATCGTTGTTGACAGCAATATTTTTAATGAAAATCAGTTCTCTTTGAAAATTGCTTTCTGAAAGAGGAAAATTCAATAGTCTGTGAATCATACTGAATGCTGCTACCTAATTCATCTAGTTGAAAGTGGATTAATTCTGCTGTTACAAGATTGACTGTTGGTGGCCGAGGGTGATAACATAACCTACCCAAAATACAAGGGTAAAGCTGTTTTAGTCATTAAATTTGTGGAAATTTTGTTAGATTCTGACATAATTAATTAATGAAATAAATGTTAAATCTATGAGAAAAGACTTTGATAGAAACAGATAATTTAAACATATGTCAATTTTTAGATTACTAAAAATTTCGAACAAAATAAAAGGCATTTCGTACTGTTGGCAACCCTTAAAAAGACAAATATGAAAAGTTCAATTTTAGTACGATTTCCAAATTTTCATTCCAAGTTTGAATACACTCTACTTGTTTACTTGATTGAACGTTAAATTAACAGGCTTATTTCATGATCAATAGAGACATCGTTCACCAAGGATAATCGTATCTCCTAATTATATTGTTGGATATTCATTCTTTGAGAGAAGTATGCAGAATTCGGTTAGCGGACCTTTTCAAATAAATTTGTGTAATTTTGATTCCAAATAGGTAACCATTTAAAAAATAAGTAACTTTGACAGTTTATTTTTTAAGAACCAGTTACCGCAAATGTCAAAAATTCATTTCTAGTGTTAATCCCGAATTTTTATCGTAGTTTTAGTACCTATAAAGTGACTTTTACCAGTTGGTTGACCGTTGAAATAAATGAATCTATAATGAATTTCACTTTCTTTAGAGTTTACAATGAATTCGACAGCAAGTGTGACTAACATTATGATATAAAATGCCTCATCTAAGTGAAATACGATGTACTCCAGAATCACAAAAATAACGATTTCCAACACTGACCAGTGGCTTAGTGGAAACTGGCAACACTGAAAACAAATAATGATTCATAACGTCAAATCAGCTAGAAATATTAATTTTATCAAAAATTCCTTTTAGTTGAGTTTCCATTCCATTGTGTTTATTATTGTAAAGTGTTGGACGCAGTACCTAATTTCTCAGAAGAAAAATTATAATTTAAATCGTTGAAATCAATTAGAAACTTGTTGAAATGGGAAATGAAATGTCTTCTACAGCAATGGAAAGTATCCTTTTTCAAAGCTTGGACTCGAAGATTTTTCAACTTGTGTCGTTTTAAATCCAGTTAACCCCAAATGAAACGATTTACGTAGTAGTTAACATTTATCACCGCCTTCACTAAGTATGAAATAGTTATTCTGTCTGGGACAAAATTTTAATATGATTCTTGGGTTATTTCTAATAGAAGGATAATTAAAAGCATTAATACAGATAATTCAAATACACTAAAAATACTAAATAGCAAAATTAAGATTCATGGTGAAGATATGAGATGCAGTTTTAACAATATATTGTAATGAATCAAAGTTGATATCACACGAATTAGATATCGAGTTGAAATGATTGCAAATGTAAAAATTTATTGACTTGAGGTACAAATCGGTCCTGACCAGTTGACAACAAAAAGCTTTTGTAGTATTAAACACAATTTTTCTTAACATTTACAAAAGAACATCTCTTCAATCTTAAATTCGCAGCAAAGGAATTAGAACGGAATTCTAAGCGCTGTGAAAAGGAAGAAAAACAAGAGAAAGCAAAGACCAAACAGGCAATTCAAAAGGGAAATATGGAAGTGGCTAGGATTCATGCTGAAAATGCTATCAGACAGAAAAACCAGTCGGTCAACTATCTGAGGATGTCTGCAAGAGTAGATGCTGTAGCAAGTAAAGTACAATCAGCGGTCACAACTAGAAAAGTTACCAATTCCATGGCTGGGGTCGTTAAAACTATGGATGCTGCCATGAAGAGTATGAACTTGGAAAAGATTTCTAGCGTTATGGATAAATTTGAGCAACAGTTTGAAGATCTCGGTGTTCAGACAGATGTTCTTGAAAACACAATGGGGCAAACTACAACAACTCTTGTGCCTCAAAATGATGTCGATTCTCTCATGCAGCAAGTTGCTGATGAAGCAGGGTAATTGTTCTTATTCTCTTCAAACACTTGCATTATATGATTTTGAATAGAGTTTACATAATTTCTGGGCTAACCAATTATCAATAAGCGTTGGTTATTGCAAATGATTTGTAGATCTTTTGAAATCGTATACCTCTTTACACTATTTTTCTACAAGAATATCTGACTTTTTAAATTAAGGCTTCATTACTCTCAGAAAAATAATTATTGTTGATGATATACTATATTGTTGGAAATTTGCAGAGTAGCACCTTCAAATTAAAAACTAAAGAAGTAAATCAACTGATACCTCTTATGAAAGTGTCAGTTCTCTATTCAATGAGTATAAGTTTAATAATTTACTTTTTTGTTGTATAAATAATAATAATTTCTGAACTGAACCTAATCATTACAGTTACATGTAAACAGCGAAAAACTAAATTTTTATTTATGCTTGTTTCATCTGAATATATATTCGAGAACTACCTATAAAAACCGGAATTTTTGTATCTTAAAGATAGAACTGATATTGTCTGTGTTCATTTATATTTTGAGAAATAAGACTGATAACTTCAAGAAATGTTGAGATCACATTGATCTTGACCTCTACACTTATCTACTTCAGTTTTATTATTATGTATAGAGCTTTTTTCTGGAGATTTTACTGCTCTAGAAAAAGGATACCCTGTTTTAGCAAAAGAAATAAAGTTTTAACTGGGGGTTGTAATAAAACCTCTTCTGCGCCAAGCATGCTGCAAAAATTTTTTAGTTTTATTAATAACTTGTATTAATAAATTTTGTATATACATAAAATGAATGATTTGAACATTTTTTTATATACCTAGCTAATCACAAACATTTCGAAAAGTTACCTCCAATTTAGTGCTTTTTCGGCCATTGATTCATTTATATGATTATAAATATGACAATGCACTGACTAACTGTAATTTGTATTACGTGCAGACCAACTTTTGCATTTCTGTCTTCACTAGCGTGACTCGATTACAACACTGATATTAATCCTCAAAAATAACAACCAAAATAATTATTGCAACAACTAATTATAAACTGAGATCAAATAGCAACAACTGCTAAAAATAATAGAATAGGTAAGGGTGAAATAAGCCACACAGCAGCGTCTCTTTAAAATGTGCTTGAATAATTAAATTAATGAATGATTTAGTATTCCAACAGAAGTTACTTGGGAAAATTAATAATTTTTTGCATAAAATTCAATTCCTCATTTGGTGGCGAGTTCTTTTTTATTCTGGTTTCATTCATTTCAGATTGGATTTGAATATGGAGCTTCCAGAAGGACCCCAGGGTAGTGTTATTGGTTCCGCTAGTCAAGTGTCGCAAGAACAAGATGAACTCAGTCAGAGACTTGCAAGATTGCGGCAAGCCGAATGAAATTGATGAGTTTTCACATTGACAGAATATGAAATTATGTGATAAACAAATCCTCCAAAAAATATGTTACAGAACGCTTTTTTTCGTAAATAGAAAAATCGAGCCACTAATAGATTGGTTTTATCAGTTCTAATAGAAGTTTCCACTGATTTACATCCCAATTCAATCTTCTAATTTGGAAGTCTTTGTGTGGAGTACGATCTGATTCAGTTTCCCTTTTGAAATTATTAGTTATAAAATGCCTATCTAAAGAAGTGTTGAGATATGAACGAAAGCAATTTTTTGTGGTGGAAATTATCAATATTTCTGGGAATTCTCACTTTCTACAATCTGAAAAAAATTGTAATGGAGAACTTATACACATTTTAACGTTTCGGAGGCCCAAATTTGCCTCTGTTTGCAAAACTGAAAATTACCTATATATAACTCAGTTTTTCTTTTTTGATTTATTTTTAAACTTTCTGAACAGGAAGGATGTAATGAACTACTCGCTAAGAGTAGAAAGGACCGTACTTGGGGCTTCCGGTCTTGAAGAAAACATTGAAAAGTGGCAAAATTGCGTCAGAAAACAATTCGTTTCATATTGCAACATTATAACATATGAACTACTGATGTATAACCTATTTTCCTCTGTGACAAATATATTGACTTACACAGTAAGTTATCAGGGCAAATTAGAAGTTCTCGTCTGAAATTCACCATTACAATTGTTTCTAGATTGTGCAAGATGAGAGGTACAGTAAAATATGTTGAAGTGGCATTATTTACAAAATTACTTGAAATAATATTGTTTGCTGCCAAATACCAAGATGATCCTACTAACTTTTATCGACAGTAGGAATTTCCGCAAATGAAAATTCTTAAAAAAGGTATCGTTTTCACACAAAGCTTTAGAGATAAAAACCACAATGTACTTGATTGTTTGGTACGTACATATTTTTTGGATTCCACCGAAGTTTATATTCTCAGCTATTATTAATTAAGGTTCTATGCTTATAAATTAGTTATATTTACCTGTGAACTGTATCCATAATTTGTATAGATTTTAATAAACTAACTACGTTTTCCATATATTTCAGATTTTTTTCCTGGAAAGTACTTTAAAGACTTGTAGGATGTACCCAAAGTATTATCATTTATATTCAAGAAAAACTGTGAGATTTTCACTTGGCAACTTTACAAAAACCCAACATGTGTTTCGCTATATATTAGCTTCTTCAGGTGTTCTAGCATGTATAGACAAGTTGGCAATTTACATAGAATAAATCATTTGGAGGATTTCTACATTAACCAGCTATAATGCTATAATGAAGTTGAAACTTGTACAGGCCTAGGATCAGCGAGAACTTAACTTTTACCATGTGAATCCCGGTATAAATAAAACAAGAACTATAAAAAAACAGTATTTATTTTGCTGAACCTAACATTATGAATGTTTTGGTTGACTAATTTGAACAATATAAAAATTATTAAATATTCTTGTGATAAACTCTTTTTGATGAAACATATTCACAATTGTATAGCACACAATTCAATTACTTATTAAACCTAGGTAATCGTCCATTAAAGTTCCAATGGCAAACTGAAAATAAAAGCATAAAAATGTTAGTTAATGAGATAATTTAGGCATAAGTGAAAATTCAACAACAATAATAACTGAAAATTAAAAGTACAACTGTAATTATGGCCCAAAAATGGTAATGAAATTAATGATATGGGTTAGAAACATACTAGAAACATTTTACTTTTTGAACAGGTCTCGTACAGCTTATAAAGAGCGAACATAAAAAGACATAATTTAAATTGTTTTTGATAAGAACGAAATAATCACTTGAATATTTTTCTCACCAGAAAAGTCGAAATTTCTATTAATTCAAGTTGACAAAAATGGATATAAAGATATTTCAGAAAATACTTACAATACCAGAAGCATCAACTCTGGTACCAACTATTTTTAGTCTTATTTCTCCTTCCGCGTGTATCACTACTTCTTCATCCTGAGATTTATAACACTGTGGATTAACATTGGGGCAGAATTCCATCTCTGCTGGGATTGAGTGATGAGAAATGAAGCAGGACAAAGGCCCTATTTCTGCAAACATTCCGACTTTATTTACTTGTCGAACAACTGCATCAAGTACCTCGCCCTTGAATGGGCGAAAAACGATTGCTTTATACTTGACTGGGTAGACTACGAAACCCTGTCCAGGAAGAATTAACCCAGCTCCGATGCTATCGATTGTGGTAACTGCTATAACAAATCCATACCTTAAAAATAATTTTGTGAAAATGAAAGTATTTAAAAAATTAACTTAGAATAATTGAATATAAAGAAGTGCTTGCTACAAATTCAATTTGGTTAAAGTTGATATGCATACTTTTCATTCAGTGAATGAAATCTTGAGATTTACGAAAGAATGGTAGTTTTTAATCTATTTTATGTAGATATACATTTACATATACTACTTACTTTCCAGTACAAGTTCCCTCGACTTCCGTATAGAGTTTTGTTTTTACTTTTTCTAATAGTTGTGGGCCAAAATACTGGGGATGCAGTAAAATTTCATGCTCAAGGGATATCTATAAATCGCTCTGATTAAATTAAAGTATTCCATAAAATTAATTCACTTACATGATAAAACATATTTGAAAAGGCTGGTAGGTTATTATTTATTATTGAAAAATATATTAAACTTAAAAATTTGAGCTACCATATAACCTAAGATCATAAACGTTACAAGTAATAAGTGTTTTATGAGTTTCACAAATCTAGAGTAAGTAGTTTGTGACGAGTTTATGGAAATAACCTACAAAACAAACACAAACCCTCTTTCTCTCTCTCAATGTTTTTTGGCCTTTGCCACACAGCCTATAGTCTATTGGCATTTTACTGTGTCTTTGCTTCTATTCCATTCGCGAAAAAAGTACTTCAAAGTCTACCGTTTTTATTAGCTAATTCGATATCCAGGAATTCTGTTCTGTTTTATGTGTTTTTCATGGTGTGGACATATTCTGCTTCCATGTGTCGGAATTGGGAATTCAAAATATATATAATTTTGACCAGGGAACCAATTATTGATCCGTAAATATTCGAAATCGTTTGCGAATGTTATTGGGAACTTGTTGCTGCTATTTTTGACCGCTCAAATACTTGAACGTGAGCCTTTTATGTGAGCAGACCGTTTTGGAACCTATTTTCGAACGGCGAATTTGCTAAATCGAGTGCGAATGTTGTTGAAAACGTGTGGCGGCTATTATTTACCGCTCCAATACATGGACTAAATCAATATTATAAGAGCTGACTGACTCTGTCGCATATATGGAAAACATGTGGAATGTTTTATTATTGCTAATAAAAGCTTGAGGTTAGTTTCAAGCTTTTTCATTTTATGGTTCCTGCACGCACTTCAATTCGTGAATTGTATATTTAAAATTTATCTGTACTGTTCAATTATATGGTTATTCCCTATCAACTAAAATAAGATCACTTCAATAAAGTTGTACATGGATTTGATAAATACTAACCATTAATCATGATAGTTTTTTTTGGAAAAGTTTATTATATATTTTTTGCATCTAATTAAGATACTCCAAACGTTATCCAGATTGGTACTGAAGAGCCCTAAGGCAAGTGTCTTACGGCGAAACATCAGTGTCTACCAGTGAGGATGACAGTGTTCCATGTCAGTGCAATTTGTTGCCATTCATTTAAAGTAGAACTCCTGTGAATGATTTGTGTTTACTACGCCAGAATATTAAGGCTCGATCCACACTATGATTCCGTTCTCGTTCCGATCTCGCTCCGGTCTCGGTCCGATCAAATCTCGCTATGTTTACACTTACTAGTTCCACACTCAGTTCTCAGTCTGTCTCGATCTATGGTCGACATAGGACGTTTCTCGAAATAATTCGATAAATTGTAGTCGCCAAAAAATGGCAATTCATTTTTCAATCGAAGAATTAGCGATAATAGCTATTAGTTTGGACGAACAGAATACAAATGAAAAAAATTTCAACATAAAATGAAAATAAGAAGAATGTGGATCATCCCAGTTTACTAACGAGAAAAGAAGAAGGCGAATATCACACGTTATATTGTCATTTGATAGACGACGAAGAAAAGTTTATTATATATGATCAAATGTTATAAAGAAATCAAATAAAGTACTTACATTTTTCAGAATCCCATGATTTATTACTAGTCATATATGACTAGAAGAAAAATGTAACTTCTTCTTGCAAGACCGAAGAAAGACTGGAGTTGAAACAAAAACGTATCACACTGTCGGTACAAGTCTTGACAGGTCCGATCTAGCTCCAGTCAAATATTCTTTTCGACCAACCGGTGCCGACGCGATGCCGGATCGGAACCAGAGCGATACGATAGTGAGAATACTCTGATTCTTTCTTGTTTGAGAATACTTTACCGGACCGGGGACGGACCGAGAGCGGAGCGAGATTGGACCGAGAACGGCATCATAGTGTGGATCGAGCCTAAAGGCATTAAAGGCAAGTATCACGAAAAAATGCCTGTCAATTTTTTGTGCAGCCAATGCCATTTTTTACAGACCTGAAAGGGTGCCTGTCAATTTTCAGTGCAGCCAATGCAATTTTCAACAGACATGAAACCACCATCATCGTTCTTTGGTTGGAAACAAGTTGGAAAAGAACGAAAATTACAATAAGATTTCATAAAATTTTGCGCTCCGGATATCCTTTCATAATTTTTTTATTTTGCTAGATAATTGTTACAAATAATTTCACTATTGAGTGTGACCCGTTTTACTTTCATAAAGTGTAGAACCTACAGAATAATTATAACGCCATTTTACCTTTGCAATTGTGTGTGTATCTTATAACCTTTATGGTTTACGTTCTTGATGTATAATATCCATCTATATTTATAGTGAAATCATTAGTAGTGGTCCTTGCCAAATTTGTATCAGTCAAAAATGCGTTTTGATGGGTAAGCATTGTAATGAAAAACATAATTTTAATATATTTCAACCTGTTTGCCATCAAACATTTGTTAAGTTTCAAAATCACTTCGTTTTTAGATAACTGGGACATGTAATTTGATAGAAATTACAAAAACTTTTATATAGGGTTGAATGTTATGGCCCAACAACAGTATTTTGAGGTTTTGAAACAAGATGATAAAAACACTGGACAGCAACAGTTTTATGCCAATGTTGAAGACCAAACTGTACAATACGTGATTACACCTAATAAGACACAAGTTCAGTATCCAACAACTCCTGTAAGTTTGACAGATTGTATAGCAATTTAGTGCTGGGCCAATTTTTTTTCATTGAATCCCTTGCATAAAAAATATACATGTGGCAATTATTCATTGAGGTTATTTGATATAATTCCTGTAGTGGTTTATTTTGTGTTTTGTATTGTGCCATGTAAGTGTTTTTGTTTTCAAGGAACAACTAGTGAGTGAATAGAATAGAAATTGGGGTTAAGGGTAATTCTAAAGCTGGCGCTGGTACAGCTTGTACAGTAGTTGAAAGTTATCAAAAAGAAATAATAGCAGGTTGATGCAACAATACTTAAGAGTTGAACCTAATAACTTCTGACAAAGACACTGTCCGGTTCATGCACTTGTTAATGTAACCACAGTTATTCTTCATTTGATATTTTATTATACTACTGAAAATATACTTCATTAAAAAAATGTGTTTTCTGTTTGTTTTTATGTTCAATCATTTTTCGTTCTATCATAATAGATACAGAGCCCAAGCTCTAGTTCTGGTCAGATTTCTAGACAGTGTTCTTATCCTTAGCCCAATTTCCATAAATGCTCGTTGACTTGTTTTGGTTGAACTCTTAGTTGAAACCCTTCATTATTTAGTTTAGTAGTACCAACTCCTCAATTGTATCCTTTTCTTGTTTTTAATGTTTACGTTATGTGCTCTGTGTTATTCACATGATTCAGTTTATAATGAACATTTCTATACAGATAATTGGAAACTCCATGAATGGTTTAGTAGTAAAAAGTAATATTTCAAAAGATGGGGTAGAGAGAAATTGTAAATTAATATCGTACTGTGGGTATTGGGTTACAAACTATCATCAGTATTTAACTGTAGAAAAATTTTACAATGGTAATTTCTTCATTCAGATCGTAGTGGCAACAGGAGATCAGTTGATGGTTGTAAACGCACCACCACAACAGATTGTTATAGACCCGTCGTCGATTACTTATCAGGAGCCAGAAGTGCAGCAGCAATTACAGGTATGTAAAGAAGGATTATCTCCCAGTGTCCTGCATTGTCCTTAAAATGGTGGAAACAATGGTGGAACTATATCTGTGTACCATACACTAAAATTAAGATGCAAATGGAAGTCAATAATTTTTGAAAAAAAAAAAAAGGTTAACCCTTTGTTAGTTGGTTTTGAAACTATTCAGGGTTATTCAAGGTCAAACATATACACTGTGGTTACATCGTGATTAAGAGAGAAACCTAACAAAAAAATTGAAAAATACCTCTGGTTTGCTTATATTTTCAGTATGGGAAGGATAAAAACAGTTTCTGCCTTTAACTATATGAAAAAACACTTGACATTGAATATATGTGTTGGATATAAAGTACTCTTCTTTGCAACGTCCTATTTTCTAACAGGAAAAAATTTAGAATATGGTGAATTATTTGTTCAATTTCTGACAAAGAGTCATAACTATCTGTTAGTTGGATAACATGCTAACAGTGGCAATATGAAGCGGTATAAATTGACTGGATTGAGTAAGTATTCAATAGATGGCGCTATATTAAAAGTACAAACGAGAACAGCGTGACGAACTTCTATCACAGACTATTTTCCGTCTTTATTTGTAAATAATAATTTCACTGTATTGAATAGATTACAACAATATAATATAACGTAAACCCTAACCACAGCAATGCATGGCCAGGTCTGCTAGTATGTAGTTCATATTTCTCTAATTAAAACACTTTGTTAATTTCATGGATTTAGTTTGTGAAGTATTCCTTTTGGCATTTGTCCACTATTTCCTGTTTTCAGCAACCCAGACAACAAATGAGACCAACTTTGAGAGTTCCAAACCAGAGTCAGTCTGTCAGACAGTTGACCCCAGGCATAGTACAGCAAAGGCCATTACAACTGCCTCCTTTACAATCGATTCCCAGTCAACCACAAGCTAATCCACCCAATCAACTCCAGAGAACAACTGGACCTATACAGTTGCATTTGAAACAGCCTGTTTCGATACCGAGATCAATGGGCAACTCCCTACAACTGAATTCCCCAAAACCTCTGGGTACACAACAGTTGCGACAAACAAATCCCAGTAAGCTAGCGAGAGCAGCTTCATCTGGACAGCAGATCAGGGTGTCTACTTCTGCGGCTCAGCAAAGGCCTAATCTTCAACTTAGAAGTGCTCCCATGCACAATACGAGGTTTCAACTGCAGCAAACTCAACAGTTGCAAGTCTCTAGCAGTCAAGAAGGGGACATTGAATCTCCAGATTCGGTAAGTGTTCTGCAACAACAATGTGACTGATCATTCTGAATATCTCAGAAACTATTTGGAATGTCAGTACCAAATTTTAGATGGAGCTGTTACAGCTTGAGTTGGAGTATCTCCCTCCAAGCTTCAAAATGATAAAACATACTCAGAAGCCAACTCATCTTTGATTTGCCTTTCCCAATTTATTTTGACAATCACCAGAGAGGGGGGTCAGCCAGCTGAATAAATATATATCTATACAAATTCTATGATTGAAAAGATGAGCATGTTAATACACGCACATGTTTATCATCTAGTTTTGACAGGCAAAACTGGCGAACTTGGTTGGCGATTGCTGCCATTCTTGTGGGCCTTCCAAGCGAGGTGATTTTAAGACCTCGTGACGAAGAGCAAAACCATCCTGTTTGTTGTCGGTCCGACCATACCAGCTCATTACTCCATTTGCATAAGACCTGCATAATGTACGTCAAGCCATCTATCAGTCTGAGATTCGTTTAATTAAATCCGAATGTTGTTTTTTCGAAATTCAGCTATAAAATATATTGATAGATTTGACCATTTTGTACATATCATCTTCTAATTCATCTGTTGTCCAGAATAAAGTTTTATCCAACCTACTTGTCGAACTTGTCGATCATAAAATGGGTAAAACTGTTGAATGCCAGTTTTCAAAAGTTGAAAGATTAAGTTTTTTCAACAGTCCTCAAAGGAGAATTATTTTTATCACCTGTTCATCCTCTTTTGCATATTGATATTGAATAATAATATAGTTAACATAATTGGCTCTAATAATTCCAACCATTTCTGAGATATTGGCGGAGTTTCATTATATGCCACACACTGTATATTGAAATGTTCAGAGCCTTGGATTATATAAATTTGATCTGCAACTTTGTGGACAGAAGTGATTTCGAGATTTTTGAAAAGACACATAAATTCTGCTTGATTTGTATAGAAATTTAAAAAATTATATATCAATATTTTTTTCAGAAATCCTCAGACGACCACGAAGCTGTCGCATTACCAGACGGAACTGTTGTTTCAGTATCTACTTACAAGAAGATGTTGGGAGAGCAGAAAGCTAGGAATATTCCCCAAAAGTAAGTACAAATTACATTATGTATTTTCTTCCAAATGATTGATCTCTGTGTGTTTCATACATATTGATTTCAACAGCTCTGTGATCATGAAATACGAGTGAATTGAAATATAGCAGTAACTTTCTCAAATATCATTCTATTAATATGTCATTGTTTCAAGCACTAAAGTTTTTGGAGCACAGGAGCTTCCAGTCCTACATATTAATTTTTATTTAATCTCATATGAATGTTCATCAGGAATCTTTTGAACCAAGCAACACAGCAGAACGAACAAACTACTCAGAGTCCACAAGTCACTTCAGCAACTAACCCACCAACTCCTAGAAAGAGAAACACCACTCCACGTAATCCTAGACAACCACCTCGGGGAGGTGCACGCAGTACCGGCAAGGGTCGTAATCAGACTCCGAAAGCTTCTCCACAGACTTTGCAAGGCAAGGAGACGCCACAATTTTCTGCAGTCAATCAACAACAAAATAAATCTCACCTGTACCAGAACACTTTGTCAAATATGCCACAGAATCAGATGGCTTCACAACAGGAGCAGCTTCAACAGCAGGTGCAGCAAGTTCAACAGCAACAGCAGGTTCAACAGCAACAGCAGGTTCAACAGCAACAGCAGGTTCAACAGCAACACCAGGTTCAACAGCAACAGCAAATTCAGCAGCAACTCCAGCAACAGCAGCAAATGCAACAGCAGCAGTTGCAACAGCAGATTCAGCAGCAAATGCAACATATTCAGCAGCAGCAGCAGCAATTGCAGCAGTTTGCTAGACCTTCTCAAGCTAATTACGTAATTCAGCCTCCCAGACCTAACCAAAAGCCCCAGAGTCAGAGGCCTCTTCCCGCTTATATCCCTTCCAGTCAAATTCAGAAAATAATAGGTTTGTAATGTAATTGCTAGAAATTCATCAGTTCAATTCCGTTTGTTTTTTTCTAGAGAGTACACCTATCGGTGAGGAATTCTCCGACTCGATAAGGATGTTAGTTCTTTTGGAAAATGGAGAACAGAGACTAATAACCTTTACCTTGCCTAAAGAAGCTTGTACCATACAGGAAATCCTGGAACAGGTCAATGTACCTTTTCAAAGTAACACAAACATTCAAGTCACTGAGGCCAATTCTAATGGAATCAATTATATCGTTACTGTTGGTAATGTTCCACCACTTGGATATGAGGTCAGTAGAATATGTCACTTTTTTATGTGGGGTGGCCAAACAAAAGCAAAACAGAACCGGAATCATTGACATTTTAGAAAATTCATCAAAATTTTAGAAAAAATATCGACATTTTAGAAAATGTATCGACATTTTAAAAAATGTATCATTTTAGAAAATGCGTCGACATTTAAAAAATGCATTGACATTTTAGAAAATGCATTCACATTTTAGGAAAAGTATTGACATTTTAGAAAATGCATCGACATTTCAGAAAATGCATCGACATTTTAGAAAATTGCAGATGCAAAGGGAGACTTCTTTTGATAATTGTGACTGTACCTTCAAGTGATCTTAAAAGTCGCTCCACTCAAAAATAATTTAACAGCATGGAGTGTCAAGTAAGATGTCATTTTGAAATTCTCAACATTTTTCATTTTATCTTTGAATTTTGAAATTAATCGTGTGAATTTTGTCAAAACATGACATTTTAAAATTTTAATTATGTTTCACGCAGATCTTCTAAAGATGCGGCTTGAGTTTTATGAATGGGATTGTTTAGGTATCCCATCAAAAACAAATCAAGGAAATCTGGTGATCATCTCAGCCACTGCTTCGTCTTATCCCAATCACAAGAAGAATAAATGTATCGTACTCAACACTTTCATATAGGACCCTTCGATATTGAAACAGGATGGTGTGCTTCTCCATAATGTGCTTGATTTTTTGTTAATATCTAGACCAACTTTTCCAAGACACTTGATTTAGCGGACGGGGTACCAGATTTGTTACCACTTGATTTTTTCGTGGAGATATCCCAATGGTATATACAGAACATAAGCAGCATCATAAGATCCACTTGAAAAAATTGCCTTTGAATCACTTTGAAAATGCTTCGGAACATGTGAGAATGTTTCAAACGAAATCTGTTCTTGAATGTATGGATGCAGTTTGATTACATATTCAATAAAGTAGTGAATAGTTAAACATGATTTGAATTTTAAAATGCAATTTTTCTCAGAACATTCAAGCAGAATTTAAGAGTTTGAACATTGCTGCAAAGAGAATTTTGTTGGTTTCAAAACGACATAATACTTGTCCCTTAACCATTCTAATATTTGGGGTGATTCTTGCTCTCTGTAGGGTGTCAAAGTGGTGGAGTCAGTAGTACTAAAAAGGAATGTCCCCTATGATGAAAAAATCAACGTATTTTTATAAAATGTTGATGCAGTTCTTAACACTAACTCTGTTTCTTGTTCATTTGACACCCTGTAATGTCCTTGTAACTACCCCTAAAGAGAAACATTTCAAAATGTGTCGTCGGTTTGTATTATTAGGAAGACGAATCTCATTCACAAACTCAAGAGGATACCCAGTTAACCTCAGCAGTTCAGATGACAGTTCAACATGCATCACAACAGTTGCAGCAACAGCACCTGCCACAACATCAACAACCTCAACTCCAACCACAACAAGTGCAACAACAACAGGTTGCAACTAGTTGTCCAGTAGTCATCCAACAACCTGCTGAAACTTCAAAGCCTCCTTCACCAGAACCTGTTAAGGAAGCTCCCAAACTGGTTCCTGGGATGTTGGCTCTGTGTGGCGCTTGTGGTTACCTGTCAGAAGACTTTGCCAGGTGTATAAGGTGTCAAAGAAAACTTCCAGATAATGTTAAGTCTATACAATCACCTGCAGGGGGAGCCAATGGTCGAAAAAAGAATTTGCAGGTCGGTCAGTTTCAACAATTGCATGTGATGCAAAATCAACAATCTCAGCCGCAACTGCTTCAACCGTCACTGCTACAACAGCCAGTGCTGCAGCAGCAGTCACAACCTCAACAGTCACAGCAACAAATTAAGAACACTCCTGGTAAGTGAAAAACTATGTATTTGTTCCAAAATTCAAAGCATAATATACTTTGAACAAATCAATGACATAACCGAGATATAAATAAATATACTACTTCCCCGGCTAATACCACGCTGGGTATTGAATTATGCGAGACTTAAATTGGTATTTATAACGGGTGTTTACTATTTGCAGTGAATAAATGTGAAGGTCTGTTTAGGAGCTAGTTCCATAAAGATGTTACGGAAACGCATTGTTTCTAGGATACAGTGTGTTGAACTTTTCCGTTTAGCTAACATTATTGACCAAAAATTTGACGCCATTGACGTTTACTTTTGTTTTGGGTTGAATATCTATGAATAAAACTTTTTTATCCCTTGGATCTGTTTTTGAAGCTCACTTTGTTTTCCAGAAAAAAATTACTACTCTGTTATGCATTAGAAAAGCAACAACTAATTATTGTTATACACCCTGTTCAAAGTTCATGATTTATAATGCTGTTTCTGCATTGCAAGCTATTTATAAAGTGTCTTAAATAATAACATTCATGTGTTGATCAGTTTCTGGTAAAAAATGAATAGGCTGAAATATAATCATTGAAATATTAATAATAAGATTTTTTCAATAATATTTTTTAGTACCAACCAATCCAGCGAAACCTGTGTCCCCAACAAAAAAGAAAACCACAAAAAATAAGTCTACAGAGCAAGAAAGTGTTGTCATAAGCTCTGATGAAGAGGAAGATGAAAAACCTTCAGGATTGGTAATATATGAATAGTGGTTACCTATGTTCGATGGGAAATTAAACTTATTTTTTTTCAGAGTGAAAATATTTTGCAGAAATTGGGAAATTCTGTAACTATTAGTCCCATCACCAAAGAGCCATCTTCAATCGATATAAAGAGACATTTACCCTCGAAAGTTGCTGGTAAGTTGAAGTTTCAAAAACGGTAAATAGTGTAAATCTTCGCCGTGTGCATAAAAAAACTAGTCAGCCAATTTTGGCAGTCCGCCATATTGGATTTAGAATAACGCATATATTATTATTCATATTCGTTTAACTGATTTTTACGTTACACACGCAATTGAGGTGTTTGGCATGATTTTGCTGTTCAAAAAGTAATGATAGAGACAAAATGTTCACTCTTCAAAATATACAGGTTTTTTTTGAGGTAAACTCTTGCCATAAACTTGTTATGTGTGTATTATAAGTTTATAAAAAAGGTGACCCCCACTTCACTGAAAACTACAGAGGAATAAGTCTTCTATCAAGCTTTAGCAAGCTTTATGAATTGAATATAAGAAATCAACTGCTTTCATTTTTAACTATGAATAAGTTGCTATCTTCAAGTCAGCATGGTTTCACAAATGGCAAAAGTACTGAAACTGCTTTATATAATTTTCAAGAAAACGTAATAACAGCCTTGGATGGAAAAGTCCAGATTTGTGGGCTATTTATTGACTTTTCTCGGGCCTTTGATTGTGTCAATCATAGGTTAGGTCCAAAGTGAGTGGGTCTATTCGACCCTCCGCCGCAACCCGCAAGGGTTTATTGTGGCTCACATCTATTCACACTCGACCAAATAAACCCAGCTTCTTAACGAAGCCGATCAGTTTGTATGGTGAGTAGTCTTTCAGGTCAGATGGTAAGAGTACGGCTCTGCTGGACTCTACAAATCTGATTCTGTCCCCAGCAGGACAGGCACAAAATATGTGCTCTGCTGCTACAGAGGCGACACATACTTGTCTTCCAATAGTCCGAGCCTCTGCATATTATGATTCAAATGACAGTGGCCTGTAAGAAGGCCTGTTAGAAGTTGTAATTCATCCCTGCTGTAGAATAAACGCCTTGGAGTGAGCCAATCCTGGAATATGCTTCCATTATCTGGTGTCCTCAATATAACTGTCACAACTATAGCATTCATAGAAAAAGGTAACTATGACCTTGATATTTCCAATGTACAATCGAAAAGTACAACATACAAACCCATGAGAGAAGAAGAGTATTTGCAAACTTGATATACTCGTACAAGATGATACATAGTGATGTGGATGATCCCTGTTTTCTATCAAAAATCAATTTCAATGTACCTGTTTATGAAACTAGACCGTTTCACACAGTTTATATTGAATCGGCAAGAACAAATTATTATCAGAATGCTCCTTTAAATGCTATGTGCAATGCCTATAATAGTGTCATTTTGTCATTTTGTTGTATGTACAAATCTATTTGTAATTTTTACCTTTCCTACTCTGTAACTGGGCCATGGTCTGCAGAGTTTGTAAATAAATAAATAATTTCGAATGAAAATATCAAGATTATGCTTTAATGAAAAAAATATTGCAGCTTCAACAAATAATGTGGAACAGGAAAAGTCAGACGTACATAAAACCAAGCTCAAATGTCGCACAGTTAGGATTGGATCTTATCGATGTGTTCCTACCGAAGAGGTAAACAAGTTAAAACTCACCTCAAATTCGTTTAACTCACTCAACTTCTTTCAGGTTATCATCGACTCTCTTCAAGTTGTGATTAAAGTACCTCACCCTAAAGAAAAAATCATCAAGACGATAAAGTTCGATAGGAGCGAAATTGTTAAAATTTTGGCCAGCTTCAACAGCTCCCTACCAGTTTTCTTTTACTATCTCGATTTGAATGCTGCTGAAAAAATCCGAGAGGTTCTTGGTATGACAGCAGAAAGTGATTATTACTTTGATCCTCTGTCTATTGAGGACGAGGCGCAACGGCGGGTCACCCTATTACCTGACGATATCGAAGAAAATGACAGGAACATCTTCCAACTGATTTATCCGAGTTCTGCGAATATTTTGGAAGAGTTGAACGTGAAAGAAGCCAATGATATCTTGATCAAAACTTGTCCGAAGGAACTTGCCAAAAATGCTATTGGATATGGGTTAGTATTATCAGTTGAAGGCATGCAAAATATGATAAAATACACTGACTGTACTGATCACATCTCTAAATGCCCAGCATTGTTCGATTTTGGAGTTTTTGAAGTGTTCAAGTAAAAAGAGTAGGATACTGTAGCAGAAATTTGCAGAAAGTGTGTATAGATGGAGAGCATTCTGAAAGCTGCTCTCTGAAATCTGGAGTGCCCCAAGGTTCCATATGTGGGCCGCTTTTATTATCCATCTACCCTTCTTCTCTGGTAAAATCTCTTGTTAGCTGTGAAGTACATTTATATGCAGGCGATAGTCAATTCTATTTTAGCTTTCTGATTCAGGAGAGGAAAACTACTTGTAAACTGATCAATCAAGACCTCAAAACCTTTATGAAAGCTGGTACTGATCGAATGTCGTGCTTTTTGGATCATGAACTGACCGGCAAATAGTATTGGTAGCGATGAAAGTTGAACAATGAACCTCTTGTTTTAGTAGGTACTGAATTACGATTCGAAGGTCAAGTTAATCGGCTTTAACAACGTGCCTACTTCTCACTCGAATCTATCTATGGCAACAGGCAATTTCTTCCTTTCTATGTGAAGAAAACATTATGTGAAGCCTTAACATTGTCCATATTCAATTAAGCAGATACTCTCTTTAGGTCTTATTTCATTTTGGAATACAGGGGAAAAATCCAAAGAGTTCAGAATTGTTGTCTGAGATTAATATTTGGTGTGAGAAGAAGGCATAGAATATCACATAAACTTCAAGAAATTGAGTGGTTTAGTATGGATAATAGGAGAGCATTTCGTTCCACTAGTTACTAAGAAACCCCTTCTATTCGCACTGGAAAATGAAACTTACAACAGCATTTTAAACATTGAATATATAATGTTATTGATACGTACTTGATGTTTCACTGGGTTGTGATCATTCTTCAATTTGTATTTTAATTTACTTATTTTTTTTACTGATTACAATGTATCTAATTGACGATTGTTTTAGGAATTTTACAGAAATTCAGAAATTGGTCACGTATCCACCAGAAGGCAGGGGAAGGATTTCCATCAATACAGAAGATTACTTGTGTTTGGGACAGGATCAATTCTTGAACGATGTTATCATTGACTTCTATCTGAAGTATTTAGTAGACCATCTGCCAAATGATCAGAAACGTAAAATTCATATTTTTTCAACCTTCTTCTACAAAAGGTTGACAACAAAACCAGTAAAAGCTTCCAGGTATGCGATGAGAAAAAAGTGCAAAATGTCTGTATTTCACAAGTGTAATTTTATTGCAGAAAATCTCAACCTACCGAACTGGATCCGACTCTTACTTCTGCTCAGAAGCGACACGCTAGGGTGAAGACTTGGACAAAAACTGTCAATCTGTTTGAGAAAGACTTTGTGGTTGTCCCCATCAATGAAAACGCCCACTGGTTCTTGGCAATTATATGTTTCCCTGGTTTGGAAGGTTGCCAGACTTGGGACGGAAAACCATATAAACTTGAAGTGAAATCAAGAGCTCCAAGTAAGTAAAACGAGAATTGATATTATTTATACGTTGATGAAGCCAAGAAATATACTCTTCTCGGCCAGTAACCAAAAGGTAAAATATATTTGAATGTCTCATACTATGTGCTGGAATATTTTTTGTGCCCTAATCCAACGAAGAATCATTATCTTTTGTTTTCATTGGTTATTCTTTGCAGAAAAAGTTGCAATTGGAACAATAGGAAATGTCTCTGTCACCGCAGTGAAGCAGGAAAAGGTCGCTAAACCAATAGTGTGTGAAGATCCTGACATGAGCGACAAAGATGAGGCTGAAGGAGACGACAGCGAGATGGAGTCGGATGATTCAGAAGAACTTCCAAGCACGCAAATTAGCCAGAACTTATCTGCCAGTATACCTGCTTTGTCAGTTGCCGCGATTCCTAAAGCATCCAAAGAACCGAGGCCCCCAATACAGCAGTAAGTTTCATTTTATATTAGTTAGTTTGCATGGATATTCAATTTTTATTTATTTATTAATTGGTTATGTATAAACGGGTAACCTATCACAAAAAACTAAACTAGTTTTTGGCGAAAATTTCCAAAAAAACCAGTGGTATTCTCGATCTGAAAAGAGATTGTTCCAGTTTCCCAAAATAGGAGACTTTTGTCCAATTTTGTCCGACCTAGTAGGTCTAACCGTTTCGGAGATAGTAATAGTGGGATCAGCTACAAAAACGGCCTGTATAATTCGGGTTTGAGTAAACTTTTTTAAAAAAACAATAAAAGTTTGAATAGGAAGTAATTACATTCAATTTGAGTATGACTTTCAAAGACGTTTATAAATTATATTTTGTTAGATTTCTCGAAATTTAGTCTATTTGTCGTTTGAGTCAAGTATTATTACACGAATTTAATGTTTTTTCATCTGCTGTGTATGCTGTTTTTGCACTAAATTATAGCGTTATTCATAATCGTATTGTTCAATGGCACAAAAATTTCCATTTGTTGCAAACCTAATCAACCACACTGTATATTCATGTCAATTTACTATTCTTCGAAAAAGACGTAGCCGATTTTAACATTTTGTTGTCAATTTCAATCGCCGATTTTTTTCTCAGTGTAGATACGTTGTACCTTTAGATTTACTTTGAAATCCGTTGAACATTTTTCTCGGTGTAGATTCATGTTACAAAAGCTTGTGTATTCATGTATTTTGGATTAGGTATTCCGCCCACTTTTTTGTTAGTGTTTGCGCATTATTTTTATTTTCTGTTGTGTGCGGCAATTTGAAATTATTTTGGGTACAAGTTAACTAGACAGATACTGTCGTTCACTAATTTATGATATGTAAAAACTTGCGAATCAAAAAATGTATCGTCTTGGTCTTGAAGTTCTACTTTCATCTGTTTTACAGATGAAGTGAATGGAGTGTGTGTCGCACTTTGAACTCGGAAATGTATTTGTTTCTAATCTGTGTTATCAGTGTTGCCAACGGTAGAAAACACTAAAAGGTGTACGACTGTGACGTATGATACGTGTCCCTTTCGCCGCATTTCCGTTTGTTTACCGTTACGTCACAAGAACGCACTTTGGTACGGCTCATTAGTGACGTCATCAAATTTACGCAACAAACATTTGAATTTCCATTGGCGTACGTGTATACATAAAACAATAATTCATTAATATTTGAATCATTCTTGGTTAGTGTTATTCATATTAGCGGTTTTCTTTTTGGTTTTGAAGTTTACAAGCTTTTTATTTAGAAACGCTTATTCTCAACCGACAGAGGCGGTTCGCCCAAAATGGAGGACCACTTTTTCATTCTCCCACATGATATGGGTATCAAATGAATGGAAGAATTTTAAAAATAACATGGTGTCACTCTAAATTCATTATGGCCGATCGAACAAGATGGCGGCCTAGTTTTTTTATGCGCCCTTATGAAATGATGTCACTCTTAATTCAGTATGGCGGACCGCTCAAGATGGGCTGGTTTTTTATGCAATAAACTTTTAATTAAATCAAACCCATCAATTTATCGATTGGTCGAGTTGCGAGATTTGCCTATTTTTGAAAAAAAAAGTACAATAAGTAACTTGTTCTTAACATAATTGATTATTTCTAAAAAAAAATTTTATAAAATGGGTAAATTTCGCGGTAAGTTCTTATATTACATGAATCGTAATGTATAGATTCGATTTGATTTGAAGTTTATCAAAACCGAAATCTGATGTCATATTTCGTTGTGATGAAAGTATTTTTAAATGGGAAAATCTGTACCATGTGGTTGGTAATATCCTTGATGTGAGTTCTAGACAAAAAAAACTCAATTTTATAATTCACATCAAATTCTGTTATATTTGAACCGTTTTTGATTGCAAAAAATCTAAGCCAATTAATTTGGATTCATGAATAGAGTTTTATCGAGTCTATTTTGAACTGTAATGTCTCAGTGAATACCTATTCAATTCAATCAAAATAAACTCCATTTAAATCAGTGCACTTTTGCCAACGTAATACAAGTCGATTAATTACGTCATTAAAAAAATTGTTCTCGGGATTCGATGAAGTCGACGAAGGCCTTTTTTGCCTTGACCTGATTGGCGAAGGTTTTGCCGGTGGGAAAGTTATCGAAGTGCCTGATAAGATGGTAGTCGGTTGGCGAGAGGTCTGGGGAGTACGGTGGATGATGCAGAACTTCGATGCTCAATTCGTTTCGGACGGTGATTTGTGAAACGTGCGGACGGGTGTTGTTTTGGGTCAGGAAAGGACCTCTTCTGTTGACCGGTGACAGCTGCTGCTGACGCAATGACGGATGTGCCTGGGTGGCTCATTGGTGTTCAACTACTGTCCTGAGCGTCACACGTGACACTTTCCATCACACATGACACTTTTTATCACACGTGACGATCCAATCGAAAAAAGTATCGTTTTGGTTGCGCAAAAGCAAAGAACAGACCTCGAAACGAAAAGATCTGTCGATCTTTTAAATCGTGGGGCACCCACTACTCGAACTTTATGACTTCCAAAATACGTTTTAAATCATCAAAAACCACATGGGAACTGAGGCCCAATTTTTCCGCCTTCCCATGCGCCGTTTGTGATGGCTCAGCCTCCACCAGGGTCCTCAAATCCTCGTCCCGGATTACTGTAGGTCGACCACAACGGGAGTCATCACCGGCACGAAATTTCGTAAACCAATGTCAAATAGGGCGTTGGACGTTGTTCACAGTTGGTGCCTGAGGGAGCAGATGTCTGTCAACCCCAGCAAAACTCTTATAATCCCCTTCACCAGGAGGAGAAAATTGGACGATCTAACGCCACTTTTCCTCATTGATGAGGACATTCCATTTGAAACGGAGGTGAAATATCTTGACAATGTTCTTGAGGAAAAACGCACTTGAAATGCTAACTTTGAAAAAGTTTCACACAAAGCCAGACTGTCCCTATGGACATGTCGAAGGATTTGTGGTAAAACTTGGGGTTTAGGTCTCAAACAAATCCATTGGATATATGTGATGATTGTCAGACCAATGATCACTTATGGTGCAATTGCTTAGTGGCCGAAGGCTTTACAGAAAACGGCCCAGGCGAAGCTCTCAGGCTTACAGAGACAGGATTGTCTGGCCATCAGTGGTGCCATCAGTACCACACTGCTAGCGGCCATTGGGATCCTTCTAGAACTACCTCCTCTTCACATTTTTCTGGAGAGAGAGGCCAGATGGACTGCATATAGACTTGTGCACATTGCCAATTGCACAAATCAATTTAATGCAGAGTGCAACAGACTGTTGGTTGACACTGGAAGTCACATTCTAGAAATGACCTCTGTCTTTATGCCTCCAACTGTCAACTACGAACTGCCTTATAAACTACTGTTTCCGAGTAGAGAGGACTGGATCCTCCAGGAGAATGGAATATTAAGAGCAGATGGTTGTTGGTTCACAGATGGATGAAAAACACCTTCCGGTTTTGGTGCAGGTGTTTTCAGTCGCAGACCCAAGACAGAGACATCAACCTGCCTAGGAACGTAGGCGACTGTATTTCAAGCAGAAATTTACGCTATTGAATTGTGTGCGGAGAGATTGGAAGAATCCAACCTCATACACAAGTCAATGAAAATATTCTCGGGCAGTCGAGCGGCGTTGAAAGCTCTTGGCTCCTACCGAGCAACGTCTAAATTGGTAGCAAACTGCCAAAAAAGACTCTCCTCGATAGGAAGACTTAACAGATTGTCTCTGGTCTGGATTCCGGGCCATACTGGCCTGGAAGGCAATGAAGCTGCTGACTCTTTTGCTTCATTGGACCAGAATCTGTCATTGGCATCGCTTTGGGCTTTGCCAAACAAACACTCAACACCTGGATGGCAAGAAGAGTTATGGACTTCTGGCAGAATCTTCCAGGATTGGCTCACTCCAAGGCGTTTATTCACCCTTCGAAGCTTTATTCCAAATAGTTGTAGGACTACAGTAGGGATGAACTACGATGTCTAACAGGCCTTCTTGCAGGTCACTGTCATTTGAATCATCATATGCAGAGACTCGGACTGTCGGAAGACAGTGTGTGTCGCCTCTGTTTGGAAAATGATGAAACAGCAGAGCATATACTTTGTGCCTGCCCCCTTGGGGACCAAATCAGGTTTTTAGAGTTCGGCAGAGACGTACTCTTACCATCTGAAACACCACTCACCATACAAACGAATCGGCTTCGTTGAGAAGATGGGTTTATTTGGTCGAGTGTGAATATGTGTGAGCCACAATAAACCCTTGCGGGTTGCGGTGGAGGGTCGAATAGCCCCACTCTCTTTGGACCTAACCTAACACTATCATTGCCAAATGTCTGGGTAATTTTCGGTCTGTTTCGGCAAAAAAATTGAATTTGAAAAAAATTAGCAGAGTAAATTAAAAAAGAACAAGAGTACAATATTATCTATCGATCAGTCTATACCACGACATAGTCGAATAAATATTTATTTAGATATGAAGCTACAAAAAACATGACATTAATACGGACAAAACTTCTGAAACAACCTAACATCAATACATCCTCATATATGATAATTAACTAACAATTATAGTCAACCTGCTAGCAGTTGGAAAATTATATTAAAACTTCTTCCTGGCTTTCACGTATTCTTTCAACGGATGCCCAAACCCGAGTTCCATACGTTTTCTAATATATTCTGAATCATCCCGTATAAACAAAAATTAATTATATTCGTAATCAATAAATTTACAGTGTTGCCACGGGGATTGTAGCTCTTGAAACCGGTAGATCTGCATTCCTAACTCCATTGGCGTGCGCACACTTTTAATTTGAGATCAAAAGGGTGGCAATTATGTTTAATGTAATAAATTTCCTACTTGATTATTTCCGAAATATCTGTGAATATTGGTTATAGTTATAAGATGCCTTTCAAGATTTTCCCAGTAATTTAGGGTGTCACGTTTATAACTAAGATACTGGGTTATCCGAGA